GTGTATCACTTTCCCTCATTGTCCAACCTGCTAGTTCTCTGTGTTTTACTCTGGAGCTCAGGTATCGGTATTGCAAATGTTTGTTCAGGTGGCAATGCTATTCTGGAACCTGAGTGTTTCTGGCTTTATTTGCCGTGATGTGAGCATGATGCTAACACAGATGCTGTCTTCTACGTTAGGCATTGGAAATGGGGCCCAAATCCTCAGAGATGGGCAAATTCCTCCTTGATGAAAATGTTCCTATAGACTTAGTTCCTACACCTAGAGAAATCTGCATTAAAATCATGAGCTTGGGCTCCAGAAATCATTATTTGTTTGCTATCCATGTTTTGCTGCATAGTTTCAAGAGATGATCTATTAGAAATCAGCACGTCTACGGAAACTACTTGGTTCACCAGCTAATAAAAAATGATTAAGCATAATAATGACAAAGCAAGCATGAATGATATCATCTTGACATTTACAAAGCTCAGGTGGATTGAATAATAATGGTCTGCTATTTGCCTTGCAACAGCAGCTAAAGTAGGTTCCATGCTCCTGTTTATGCTGAAGAAATGGTATCATGCATGCACACACATGCACACATGTACACACACCTATGCTGCTGTGTAATACAGGCAGACGGTATCTGGTCCTGTAGCCATTAACAGTCAGGTGTTAAGAGTTAAGAAACTAAAGAAAGATGGATTCATGAATTCCAACAGCTGAGATTTTCCATCTGCCTTTTTAGGTCAGCTCTCTACTCCCATTGCTCCTTGAAGTGTGTTTTTGGGCACTCGTGGGTGCTTAGCCGCCCACATGCCAATTTCTCCTGACTCACCTTGCTGCAGACAGCAGCAAAAGCCATCCTCCAATTTTAAAGGCTTCTCAAACTGTACATCCACTGGCTCATGAGTGGATGGAGTAATCAAACAACTTGAAAGTGGTGTGTTCAACACAACTTCAGATCTATGTACAACTTGGTTGCTGCACCAGAAAGGTGGAATAAATTGCATAGTATAGGAGCGTCTGTTGGTTCATTTATTACAACTGCTATGCAGAAAGCTTATTGCCTCCCAGAAATTATATTTGTGGATACTGTATGTTTGACAGAAAAATACCACGGGCTCTTTATATAAAGCTTTCTCACCTGTTAGAACAGCAGCCTTCCCCTATAAAGTTTGTGCTCTATGTTGGATGTGCACAAAGACCAGAACTTAACCACGTTAGCTCCTCAGCAATAACTTCTTTCATCTCTTTGGGCACACCTGAGCCCAGCCCTGGCCTGAAAAAGGTATTTCAGGGCACTTGAGGCACTGAAGACAGGGCAGCTGAGCCAGCCCGGCTGCTGCCCCTTCCCCTGCCTGCTCTGCAAAGGCAGCCCAGCCGCAGTGCAGCACCAGGCACTGCCCCTACTGCACAGCGAGCCGCAGCGCTGTGCCTGCACCTTCTGCAGCTTGCTTCACTCCCCTGCAAAGGCAAAGCTTTGCTGTGATTCAAGCCTGGCCCTGAACGATCCTGGGTACCGCCACGGGGTGCAGAGGAGTCTGCAGGAAAGAATATAGACCAAGGCTAGTGACTGAGAGAGGAACTGGGTAGCAAGCATGACTGCTACCTTGCTTTCGAGGGGAAATAACAACCACCCTTGATGTGCTGCTACCTGATAAGCAAGTCTAATACAAAGTTCACAACTAGCTACCTTCCACTAGTCTAACTGGGTTACGGTTTGCTCCAGCGAGGCCCTGAGGGCTGCTGAGGCCTTCTCCTGAGGCCGCGGCTCAACTCCGGTGGCAACTTTGGTCCTGGGCACACCGCCAGAGCTGCTACGTGTCTGCACCGGTGCCAGGCCTCTGCCAGGAGAAAAAAGAGCCAGGAAGCTTTGTTTCTATAGACGTGACTCGAGGCTGTCCAGAATTAGGATTCCAAAAGTAGTTTGGGGTTTGGATGTGCTCATTTTAGTTGTGGGGCTTGATTTATATTTTTATACATGCCTTCAGGGACTGAGCCAAGTTGCAGTCAGTCTTTGCCCTCAAGCTTGTTCTCATAAAGCAAGATCAAGACACCTGTGTGGAGTGTGGAAATCTATGGCAAAAAAAAAAAAAAAATCAACCAAGAAACCCTGCAACTGTTGTGACAGCTAGTTAAGAAAATTAATCCACTGCATGATGTGCAAAAGAAAATGAATCTATTTCTGAATGGACAGGACACTTCAAAAGCTGTGATGGATCTGTCAGGAGAGTGGGTTTTGTATGGTAAGGAGAAATCTGATCATTAAAGAGCTGTCTGGAGAGGTGGTAGCTCTATCACAGCAGCTGAAATAGGAGCTCAGAAATGTTTCTAGGTAGCTTTGGTAGACTTCAGATAGATCAAAGAGAAAAAATGTTCACTGGAGTCTCCATTTCTGTTCCTGCTTGAGAAGTAACTGAAGGAAGACTGGAGCTGCTCTGAGCACAGTGTAGACCTGACCATAAGAAAACACCATTGGAAGAAAAATAAAAGCAAATCCCAGTTTGGAATATATGAAGATCAGCCACATCTGCAACAGGACTCATCCCGATTCATCTGCCACAAATTCCCTGTAAAGATGATACAGAATTGTAAATTCATACCTTCCCTGATGCATATTATGTTTCCCATTAAAAGGAATTATGTAAAAATGGTTCTATTTCTTGCCCTTATTTTTTTTTTTAACTTTTAAGATCTTCTCTGAATAATACAGTACTTCCCTCTGTATTTTGTTAGAACTTTGGCATCTCATGTTTCCAGAGCATGCAGTGGTTTTAGCTAGAAAACAGGAACCAAAGTGATTTGAAGAATCATGCTGCACTCTCCCATTATAGTAACTAGTATGGACATCAGGAAGCAGTGGGCTTTCTCTCATGTGATGGCTGCAACACGAGGCCTGGTGGAATAGGATCTGCTCTACAACAGCTGCTTCAGCTCCATGGTGGGGAAAAAAATACTGGGTCTGCCTTATATATGCAGCTTGACATTAATTCCAAACAGCATCCTACTTTCTTGTAAGGTTTCAGACACACACACACAAAAGCAAGAAGTGTGAGCAAACACTTCTGTTTTTAAAAAAATTATCCCTACAGTTCAAAAGTTTATTACACTTTTGTGACCAATTTTCTGACATGAAGAGATCATTATAACAATTTTAAAATGTTTCAGGAAGCAACATATGGTATGCACTCTCTGTATGTTGTGACAAAATTCAAGGTAATAAGTGGTAAATATGCAACCATCTGTGTAATACAAAACTACTTAAAAAACACAGACAAGCAAACAGTGCAAACAGCCTATGATGAGAAAAGTATCATAGAACCATAGAATGGTTTGGGTCAGAAGGGACCTTAAAGATCACCTAGTTCCCACCCCCCTGCCCCGGGCAGGGCCCCCTTCCCCCAGCCCAGGGTGCTCCCAGCCCCGTCCAACCTGGCCTTGAACCCTTCCAGGGAGGGGGCAGCCACAGCTGCTCTGGGCACCCTGGGCCAGCGCCTCACCCCCCGCACAGGGAAGAATTTCTGCCTTAGATCTAGTTTAAATCTACCCTCTTTCAGTTTAAAACTGTTACCCCTCATCCTATCCCCACACCCCCTGATCCAGAGTCCCTCCCCACCTTTCCTGTCCCCCCTTTAAGCCCTGCGAGGCCACTATAAGGTCTCCTCAGAGCCTTCTCTTCTCCAGGCTGAACAATCCCAACTCTCTCAGCCCGGCCTCAGAAGGGAGGTGCTCCAGCCCCCCGAGCATCTTCATAATTTGTCTTGAGTACAACATTCATTTAGGCTATTTCAGAATTATACATTTTATATATATATATATATATTTTTATATATATATATATATATATAAATATAAAAGGCATTAGTGTCATTGCCCTGTATTGTAGAAACGCATTTTGCTGCTGGCAAGGACCTTCTTAGACATGAAGTGAAATGAACAGAACTAAGAAAATAAGTGACATCAAACTACCTTGTGAAGTTTCAGCAGACATATTTTAGAGGATTATCTTACTTAGCATGTATTTTCCATGCTACTACACTCATGCAGCAATTCCATGCACTTCTGTGTTTATTTTTGGTACCCTAATCATTTTGTTCAAAAATAACACAAAAAAAGCAGCAGCATGTCTACGACGGGCTTAATAGGGATTAAGTGCTGGGGAGCTAACACATTAAGTGTCACCATAGCTGTATCTTTCTCTACAGAGTAATAGGATGAAGCAACATAATGGCATACTTGTACAGCAAACCCAATACTGGATGAACCACACAATTGTGTTGACAATGCTGATTAACTGCTCTACCTTGCATTTGCAGTGATTAATTTCATATGAAAGCATCCTAATAATAGATGTTCAGACTGAGCTGTGCTATTACACAACAGGACAGTAAATTGGCCAGTAGGAGGTTTGGGCCTTGCTGAGAGATAATGACAAATATCTGTCAGTACAGCAGTCGGTCTATTTCTACTTCCAAACCACCTAAAAATGCATATTCTGGTTATGCAGTTCACATGGAGAAACCTGGCATGTCCTCAGTGTACCCCAAGGCTAACCAGGAGATCAGTGGTCTAGTCTAATGCTGCTAAAATGTCCTTTAAATACTTCTGCCTGATACACAGTAAACCAAACCAGCTGAAAGGAAGCCTCGTCTATAACCTTTGTCAATGAAATAAAGTAGCTAATCATTCACACCCCAAATATGCACAAATAAACCTTACTAGTCAGTATTTATGACATTTTCTGTTGTGGAATCTTAAATGTGACTGAAGTCGTATTGCAGGGCCTGTGAAGGCTTCTTGCAGCACTGATTACAACTCTTAAAACTCAGACCTTATTGTTTATGTGACTTCTGTCTTTTATTCCACTCCTGTCTGAATTCTTTTTCTTTTAATCCATTCCTTCTGGGGCTCTGATCCTTCCACCCCCATTCAGACCCTAGGCAAGAAGAGCTTCTCAAGGTTTTATGTGCTGCATGTAATTTCATTTATTTCAAACACAACATAAAACTTCGGAAGCCTGTTCCAGTTGTCAATTTTATTTGAAAGGTGTCTTCTATACATTTTTTATATATATAGAAATAAATATGAAAGGCCTATACAAATATGAACACTTAAAGAGTACCAATACTGCCCTTCATTTTTTATACTCATCTTTCAATACTTAAACAGACAAAACTGCATCAAACAGCCCACATATTTAGTAAAATAAATTTTACAAAATCTCAGATCACCAATGTCTGTTCATGTCTAACAGAACCTTTTAGACTGAGTTTTCTTTTACATATATGCAACCTCAACACAACATATGTTCAGCTGCCTCTGAGAATTTCACAATACAGACTGATGTACATTCTCCTCACGAGGGACAGTAAAACCAGTCATACTTAAGTTATAGTCTGATGCAGGAATTTGGCATTATCGCTTTTACTGTTAACATAATATTTTTAAAAAACATTCCAATAAATTAAAAATAACACAATCTTGCCTTCAAAAAAACCCCAAGTCATTTAAAAAATTTCAGAATGGGCATTTGCTTTTATATAATATGATTCTTCCCCAAGCTTTAAAAAAAATGTAATTCAACACCACATAAAATGCTTTTGATATAAAATAACATCATAAGTAAGCTTTTTGCTTTTTGTAAATGATAATTTATAGATTCTTTCCCATAAAATGATATTTTTCTAACATAGGGCATCATCCACATTCACTTATGTAACCTCACTAATTTACACATTTCAAAGAGCATAAAGCAAAGCATGTGCTTAAATGGTGAGAGAAATGGATACTAAACTGAATAAACAATACAACTGCTCTTTCAAAAGTTGGGGGGGATTTTTGCTGTTTCGTTCTGCTTTTGTTTTTGTTTTTTAAGAAAAGGTCAAACCCCAACAATACTGAAAGGAGATCATGTAATACAGCAAAAACCTCTTTTGTCTCTCCTTAAGGAATTTGTTCTCATCCCAAAACTAAAGAGTTCCCAGATGTTAATTTAAGAACTGCAGATTAAACTTGCTGGCAATCAGAAGAAATATTTCAGATATTTCCTACTGGGACAATAAAAGCATAGGCTTTAGTTAAGAAAAAACATAATAATATAATTTACTGTAAGTGCACAAAAGCTGAAACCTGCAACTCTTACATGTTAATTCAATTGTTTTTACTTAAGGAAAGTATATAGGATTTCCCTCTCAACCCTGATTATTAACTTACATAAATGACTGTGTTTGAAGAATATGGATGTTTAACAGTTTACACATATACTAGACTTAGAGGGTATTTGGCAATGGCTACCCTGTTTTTGATAAGAACTACTACTTTTAAGAGGAATGTTGTTATTTTTTTCAGTCCTTCAAAATAAAGTTTTATGAGCTCATTACTAAACAGTACTCTCATTTCCACTTCTTAAAGCTCAAATGCTTGGCCCATTGTTTCAAAAGAGAATTTGCAGATTCACAGAGAAGTATAGGGGACAATTCTCTACTCAAGGGCAGATACCCGACATGGCTTGGCTCGGAATAGCAGCTGTGCTGCAGCGTTCTCAATTCATAGCATCGGAGCGGTTTCTGTAACACACTTCCCTGGTTCACTGCAATTCTCTTACCAGTTTTCACTCCTCCAAACTCCTTCTGAACTTACCCAGTAAAACTAAACACTCTCTACCGTAGGTTTTGCAGGCATAGCTAGAGGTTCTGCAGGCCACAGAAGGCTGAGTGTCTTCCAGCAGCATGATAGTAACAACCTAAAGAAAGTTTTCAGAAATGCTGAACAGCATTAATCTGGCCTGCAAAACTAGTTACAGTGATGATGATCAAGACAGTAAAATCCTAGCTCCACAGCAGTCTAACATTCAGGTTAAAGAGCAATGGTGGGGGGGGAAAACAAAGAAGCAAACAAAAAGACAAGAGACCATGTACATAAAGAATTGCGGTGTAATTTTGGAAAAAACAAACCAAACCAAACCAAAACAAAACCAACCAAACAACCAAACAAACAAAAAAAAAAAAAAACCAAAACAACACAAAAACCCCAAACACTTTCAAGGTAGGAATGCATTTATCAAAAACTAAGTTTTGCCCCATTACAAATTATTTGAAGTTTGGGTTCCTGAGCTTGATACTGGGAAGGGGGAAGGGCAAGGGAAAGTGTATATCTGAAACTATACAACAGTATCATTAGAACAGTATTTAAAACCTATCATTAGAAGAATGAATAAGTTACATATATGACTTTGAGAATATTATAACTAAATAGTAGTTTATTCAGAAGACCTTATTCTTCTTTCTTTTGTGTTTGAAATCGTTCCATTAAAGCCCTAAATATATTTCCTGGTATTTTCTGATGTTTTTCTATTAGAGCTTGGAGTGCTGCTTTTGTCTGTGGGGAAAGAGAAAAGGTTTTGGTCAGATTAAGTCATCTTTATATTGTTCATACATTAACACAATTTCTAGGCTTTTTTTCATCCTTTCAAATGTCACAGAACTACTACAAGTTCAAAATACTACTTTCCATGTTTAAGCCCACAGGAGTGTTTGTGGGATCACTGCCAAGAAATAGGCTTATAAATATCTTTTATCTCTGGTAGCTGTGTTCACAAGCTCTATTAGTGATGCGCAATAGTAAAATGACAATGGAGTGAATTAATGAAGAGACCTAGACCTATAAAGCATGTCAGCACCTGCGTGCTGTACTGCAACCCTGAAACTTCTGACTGTGCCCAGGTTGGCATCAGTAACACTCTTTCAGCATGCAAGAGCTCTGCTGCTGCCCATGCTCAGAAGCAGCACTGGAAACACAATTGTGTCTCAGCACGTTTGGCTGGTACGAAGTAATTATCCCAGCACCCAAGTCCCCTCAAGGAGCTGGTCCTGTAAAGCACTCTTAGAGCACACCTAAAAAACTGTATGTGACAGCTGCATTCACTTTCACCCCAAAACACAGCAGGCCAAGAAGTTAATAGCAACCATTCTTATTATATAAAAGCTTTACTGGGAACTTTCAAAATCAGGGCAATATGCAAAAGCTATGGAAAGGACGCGCCATAACCTTCCCATTCAGCCTAGAGAAGCACAGACTACTGAATTCTTAAGGCCAGAGAGAGAACAGCGAACTATTTGCCTCTGTAAACCAATGGTCAGCAAGGAGAAAAGTGATCCTTGGGACAAGCTCCCACTGTTTAAATTAAGTATGTAGTCAATGGTTAAGTCCTGGAAGAAGGTTTCTGCCCACATCTCTTTATAGGTCTGGTCCTAAGTGTCTCTACAGATCTAAAATTTCTCTTAGGTAAAACATTTGAGCTCATTTTTTTCTAGATACAATAGGAAAATGCATACTGTGCCACAGCCCAAAACATGAGATATGACTTTAAAATCACTCTAAGTGGGCTTCTAGGGGATTCACATTCTAGGGGCCTTATCTAGCAGAAGTTGCACTTAAGTCAGAAGGAAGTGAGGGTTGGCACAAATATAAGATGCCAAAGCACATTAGAATGTCATTTAAACACACATTCTCTCCTGAAAGCCAACAGTTCTGAAGTCCTGTCTGTCTGAACCTCCAAAAGAAACAATCAGTTTTCCATGACCAGAGCATAAGATAATGCATATAAATATTTTAAGATGTCATTTTGCAGAGATCTAATCAGAAGGTAAACAGATGAGGAGAGACAACTGAAATGACACCTGCATGGTCAAGAAGAAAAATCTATTTCTCAAGTGAAGTTTTCAGAATGCTACAAGTGACTGTGTAGCTTCCAAAAATGGCTATTTCAGCTCCCTCCATCTGACTGCTCCATCACTTAACAGTTTTATGTCCTAGCACTCTGAAATCTATTAATAAACTGAATGAACACAAGGACCTGACAATCCTTTCTATAAACAACCTAAATCTGAAATAGGGGAACATTCAAAAGTTAATTTGTTGGGTGAGAAGTTGGAGGAAATAGAAATGGAAACACACTGTACAAAGCAGTGCATAGATTTACCTTATTTTTTATGGTATGGAATTTCAACAGTTTGTGAACACAGATTTGCTATATTTTAAAGGCTTCATTAGTATCTTTCTGAAAAGACCAAGAACCAGAACACTTTCTCTGGGTGAAGTGCTTAGGCTTTTATCAACCCAGGGCAGTCTTATCTGACTGAACTTCTTCAGTCCCTAAAGCAAGTTGTTTCTCAAAGCAAATACAGTGTGCAGCATTGACTTTAAAAGGCCTAGAACATCTGCAAGATGTAGTAATAAAAAGATAGCACTTAAGAAGGGCATCCAGAGTTAAGCAAGTCCAAAGCTTACCATGAATCCACCAACTTCTTGTAACTAGCTCCAAGGCAGAAATCACTTGACAAGAATATTCCAGTGTTTTCTATCAGAACAGTCAATATTTTAAATCTAGATATGGATATCTATCTTACCTTTGCAGTTAGTTCCTCAGCAGTTATATCTGGTTCGTATGGAATGGGTTCTCCAACAAATGTACGAAGCTTAACTGGAAATCCACCGTAGAGAGGAACTATTGGCAATCTAATACGTTCATATAGTGACCTAAATATTTCTAATGTGAAAAAATGTAGGGGGAAAGCGAAAAGCAGGAAAAGGGAGGGTGAGGAGGAGAGAGAGGAAAAAAAAAAAAAAAAAAAAAGAGAGACTGAGATTATTCTATAAAGCTCTTTTTTCCCAGTATGTCTTAAAAGTGAAACTGGCTTGTCAAGTAATCCAGCCCCTGACCCAAATTCTCAAACAATGTGTCATCTCAAGTGCTATTCTGCCCTTGACTTTCATTTCCTAAAAGCTACGTTAATACTAACGTCAGACTTGTTTCCACCCTAACTTGGTGTGAAATCTCTCCTCCAGAGAGCAGCTGCAAAGAGAAGGAAGAAGAGGAGAAAAATCCAATAGCTATCTCTCCAGAGAAGAAGGGAATGCTAGACAATACAGGTTACAGTTCAGCTTAATTTTACAGGTTAGTATAAGAAACTAGCATTAGAAGACTGTTCTGTTCAGTCCCACTGAGGTCTAGAGGATCAGGAATAGTCTTATCTGTCTAAAGCCAGTCATGCTAAAATGCTGAAATGATAAAACGCTCCTTCAGATAACACACTGGTTGCAGTGAAACAAAATAAAGACAGAAAAAACAGGTATTTCTATCAGCTCTAAGAGGACATATCTTCTTCCCCACATGCCACCTTCTAAGCATCTAGCCCAAATGCAACCAGAAAAATTCCTTGCAGAATAGGTGCTAATATTCTCTCTCAATTTTAGACAAGAAATTCCTTTAATTGAGGTGCTGGCCTAAGAAAATCCTTCCTGACCAAGATGTGGGATCTTCTGTACACAACCTATACGCCCAAAGAATATTCCAAAACTATTGAAACTGGAGCAACACCTCCAGTGATCAACAGAATTGAATTCCTCTAGCACCTCTGCTGTAGAATGTAAGTAGCATGCATGATTTTGGCTTAAACTTCTGTTTGCTTGGGAAGATTCTCCCGAACGCAGCACCAATTAATTGTTGTTTCTTGTTGTACAACCTGATGAATGTGTGAATTATTCTATGTGTCTACATCAGATGCCTTGGCCTTCTCCATGCAACATACAGCTTTTAATTAGAGGGGGAGAGAAACAGAATGTTTTGTCTACAGTGCTCTGATGAAGATGATGATGTCATACTTGAAGCAGAACATGTGTCATGGATGAGACTGTTCAGGCCCTTTCTGCTAGATAGTAAATTGGAGGATACAGAAAAAAAAAAAAAAAAAGGGTGTTTAACACTAGCAGATCAGCAGAGATGTGGGCATCTAATCATCCCAGAGGTGGACCCTTCAGACATACACCCATCTGTTTGTGTTCTGGCTTGAAGTGCCACAGAGATGAGGAAAGAGAGCAGGCAAATGCAAGGTTCTGTGAGGAACCACAGGTTTAGTGCGGAATAGTAAGCTAACAACACATTAAATATATTTCAAACTATTTGAAGTTTAAGTACAGGTAAAGGTGTAAGCACAGAGATTTAGGAGGACATGTCAGTTGCTAACCCCTGTTTACTTTGCTTCTTAACAGACAGCAGAAAACCTCGAGATGGCCTAGCAGATATAAGCAGAGAAAAAAGGTGCTCTAAATCTATTTGGCTTTTTCCAGTTCCTTTTTCCTTTCTTCTACTGCTTCTGTGAAGGCACACTGTTATGTGGACAATAACTTAGATAAGCCAATACCACATCTAATACTGATATTAAATCCTAATAACATCTCTGAACTCTACTGGAGAGCAAACTTCCAGAAACAACGCTGTGCCAAATCTCAAATTTATATGGGGATTATTTCTACAGAAATAGGCTAAGCACATATGGAAAAATAAACTACAAGAAAATAGAAAATATCTTACTTATTCCTCCTAATGTCCTAATGCCTTCTCGAACATTTTGTGTAAACATAGGAATGATGGGCTAGGAGGGAAAAAAAAAATTAAGAATTTAATGAAGATAGCACTATCTAAAAAGCTTCTACCTCACTCAAACCCAACAAGCAAATTAATTTCAGAAGTGTTTCTCAGACAAGGACATACAGAGAGCAAACCAAATATTCTTAAGTTTTTCTGCAACCTTCTGCCACAAGGCTTCAGGCTGGAGAATTCCATGAGATTTCAATGTCACTGTTTCAGCAAGTCCATTTTCTCAAAGTAGTCTGGGATTTCAGAACCTATGGAGCATTTAAGCCTCCTCTTATCTAGCAGTGTTTGCACAGTTATGACTTAAGTGATTAAACCTCTTACCTCAAGGGGAAGAATTTACAGGACTGGGACCCTAAACTCATCTGATTCGTCTCTGCTATGCTGATTGTATTGCTTCACACACGATGGGTCATATTCAATACATGTCTATGATTTATTTCTGCTGATGAATATTTGGAATAGTGTTGAATATTTCGAGTTTTTATTGCTGCATCTGAACTTCCAAAGAGCTGTCAAGATTTACAAGAACTGGGAGAGGGTTGACTACTACGTGAAGCTTTTCAATATCATTTTATAGTGTGTACTCATTGCACATCATCAGAAATACAGAACTCTTCATGGGATTTTCAAACAGATTCTTTCAAACTTTTTTAAACAAGCATGGAGATGAGCTAGCAAATGAAATTTTTCAGACAGATATCAAGTTGGGGTGTTTTTTGGGGGGGTGAAGTCTGTAAATAATCCAATGCACCTACTGAGAATTAAATGAAGTGCAGTTGCCTAAACTGAATGTTAACAAACCTCTTTATTCTTTAACTACCTTATTTGGAACATCTTACTTTTGATATAGAGGTAGAGATTTTTGTATGTACCAAGTTGATTTATATGACAAAAAATTCTGGCAAACAAGCTGCTGAAATGAGACAACTTCAAGAAGTTGAAAGTCCCAGTTTTAGACACATTTTTCTGCTGTTTTAGACACATTTTTCTTTCCATGAGGAGTTATGCTTATGAGTAAAGGTGACTTAAAGTTGATCTTTAATCTAAATAAAGACATTTTTCCCACTTTCAGCCTGCCTGTGACACTATTCCTATTCTACTGCATCTCTCAGGTTTTTTTAAAGGTGGGGGATGAACCTGCAAGACCTTTGTGCGTGCATAAAGGGAACCGAACACACATTCAATAAAATAAATGTAACTAGTGCAACCATAGTTGAATCCCAAGTATGGCCTTTCATATGCTATTACAATATATTAGTAGAATCTAAATCTGTTGAAAATACCCTGTTAAAATAGTGTTATTTTCCTCTTGAGAAAAGTTACACATACTTAAAACTGTGTCTTAAAAGTATTCTATTTCTGTATAAAATCCAGAGATTTAACTAGTCTCTCTTTGACAGTACCTAAACATAAAACTCTTGGTGTGAGACTTACTTTCAAATTAGGTATATGCAGGCGTACAGACATATGCACACATCTTTCAAGTGCAAATATAGAATGAGAGGGACTCTGAAATTAGTATTAAAATAGTTACAATTCAAATATATCATATACTTGTGTGTCTTTCACAGTTGGTTCCATATGAATAATTATCTACCTGCTGACCAAGCACAATGCTATATATTAGAACTGAAGAGCCAGTTCACACCAGTGAGCAGCATCTCCTGCTGCTGCTGTACGCCCCAGACATCCTTTACTACCACAAAATGCCAATGCAGTACATAGTGCCAGTGAGTCTATACTGTGCTGGGTCACAGTGTACTTCAGCAATAGGGGAAATGGATATGCTGATATATGGTTGCTTCTGAACCATTCTGGTCAGGGGTTGAGCCATCACAATCCTGACCAGGTATGTGTAAAACAGCACGAGCTGGTAATGTAGAAACTGTCCTGGATTTCATCTCCCCTTCTTTTAAACACTGCATTTTCTGACCACGCTACTCTTAGCTGACTACAAAGCCTTCTCACTGAAAGCAACAAAAAGAGTCTTGAAATGTGGTGATGGAGCAAGTAGACCATACTCATAACGCTCAGCAATATAACACCAAATATATGATAATCAAAACAGCTTTCACCGGAAAAAAAGTGCTAATAAGTTAGCATTCTCTGCTTCTCTTCTGTGATCTGTCATACTTACCACTTTTGCATCAATGGCCACCTGAGCAAAGCCCTTCCGATTACCCCAGATAATAGTATACATTTCATCACTAAAGAGTGCTTCCCGAACTCCACCTGGGGCAATGGCTATCAGGCAGCCCTTCTTCAGAGCACCAACACATTCTTCTTTTGGTCCATGCATAACTCCATGTACATCTAGTAATATTTTAAAACCTGTAAGGTAAGATAATATAAATTCAGAAAATGTTAATTCATGCTACCACCGAATACAGATTCCCGACACAGAACACAATGGCTAAATCTTATTTGTCTAATAACTTGTAATCCCAAGTCAAAGTTCCTAGAGGGACTGAAGCATTAAATCCTGCTTATAGGTTGTGGTCTAAAAAGTTGAAGATTTAGGATTTTCAGTGGCTTTCTGTCATAGTACAGTCAGGTGCTTATCTCACAATCAGGACTAAACTGGAAAAAACTGGCACGCACTCTCTGACATCTTTCATGTGTCCCTTCTATGGAGCTGTTAAGTCGGCTACAGGGCACTGGCTCCTTGCCCAAGCTCTACTTTTCAAATGTAGCACAGTCCTAATAAAGTGTAACAAGAGAAAACACCAGCAAATTGTTGTGATGTTTTGTTTTGTTAGCTTCAGCAAACAAAAAGCAGTCTGTGCACAAGAAGGAGAAATGACAAAGAAAACGAAGCATTCTCTGTGTTACAGATCACTGCAGTAATTGACTCCCTGGTTCAGTCTGTGAGTACCTGGACAGCCTTTCACACAGAGACATCTGGCAAGCCTGGATGGGGTATATTCATCTCAGGTTAAGATTTTTAATTTCCTGAAGTTTAACTGTAAAGTTACATTAACTCCTCACATCATCTTGAATTTGAAATGTCATACTGACTCTACTCTCCAAGAAACACCAGAACATCAAAAAATTTGCTTACAAGCATCAAATTGGCACATACATGATCAATTTAGGCAACCAGTGAAAGAACATAAGTAGCATAAACCTCTGTTTGCAGGAAATCAATCAGATTCACTTGGTTCAATAAATTTTAAATTTATACAGTATTTATGAGTACTGCATACCAAAATGGAAACTTTAGATGACTGAGAAGTATGGGAAAGATTACTTCTCTTTCTTGAAGTTTCTCACTGAGGCAAACAACCTTACCAGCCATAGACAAGGACACAGAACAGATCAAGTCTGACCCTGAATAACAGATCTTCATTTTTTAACCTCAGGTTAACAAATGAATGGTTGTTACACTGAACCCACATTTGTTACATGCACATAGACGTACACACACATGAGTCCAAATATAGTTAAGAGGACAGAGATCTGTTTTTGCTTACAGCCCAGATAAACTAAGGGTTTTCGAAAGAGAGCCTGAGACAGCATATCATTAGCTTATTCTTAACTAAATTCTGATCTCTAACTAGTCTCCGTAGTTGGTGTGAGTATAATTACTTCCGATTTATATCTAAACACAATCAAGATCTGTCCATAAACATGACAGCAGAACACAAGCTGCCTTACACCTGCCTTGCCTTGCACACTGCTGAGGACACTATCAGTCTTTGTCTAGTAGAATTTACACAGAGGACAGCTGAAATAGAATTTTCCTAAAGTAATTTAATTTCTCTCAAGTATTTTATGGGATCTTCAATAGCTGTTTTTTACCATGATTTACAATCCCAAACTAATCAAAGCTCTCTAATGTACCTGGTGATAGGAAGCTGCCTGTCTCTATGTCCTTTCTGTCAGTGAGTTCAAGAGAGAGACAAAACAGTCATGAGAAGGGTTGAGCTGAGCAGGAAAAGAGACTCCAAAGAAGCAGAAGCTGTGAAGAGAGTTTTCCTTTCTGCACTGGACACGCTGGGGAAGGGGAGCAGCAGGGCAGGGGTGATAGAGCAACACCATGAGTTCCTCTATCACCAGTTCATAGGTCAGGGAAAAAAAAAGAAAACAAAACCAAACAAAATAAAACCCACAGAATATAGACACAATACAGACAAAAATGTATAATACAGAATAGTGGTGGGGAGGGGTTTCAAGTCTTCACAAAATTTCTCAGCTATATTTCCCTACCCCCCCGTCCCACCCCACCCCCCCGACTTTTAGTATAAACCTTATATTCTGAGCTCTGTCTCCCAGCCCAGCCAGCAGATAACACATTATTACCAATATCTCCACTCCAGTAGCAAAGAGGAAGAACCTGGTTCTGTTAGAGCATCAGAGAGGCAGGAACTAGTGCAGTGGCCCTGAACTGACAGCCAGGGCACTCTGTGCCCCAGGCAAAGATCATCATGGAGTCAGAAATAACACTGGGGTGGTACCTGGCTGCTGCACAAAAGTGACCAAGAATCTATTTTTCCACTTTAAACAACAAAACAACTCTCAAAACTATCTAAACACAGGGGTTTGGCCTTCCAGAGCATGGAGGGATGCTAATTTGTCCATATACCAACAAGTCCAAAATTAATTTTATTCCACAGTTCAACCCGGACTCTGCCCTTTGTCCCAGCACACTCTTCTATTTTCTACAACATTTTGTCTGCACTGATGTTTGAAAACCCTTTGGAGAGTACCCAGTAATGCATTTAACACTTACCTCAATAAGCACACTACATATATATTTCTCTAACTTAGCCCCAGTGACTGTAATAGAGGCACTGTCAGCTGCCTGGTGGCAAGATGCCAAGGATGTCATCATTTTCCTATGGTTGACCTTCAGGACCACAGACAGGGAGGAATCATTTAGACCACTGAATTCAACCTTCCACAACTGTAGGTAACCACATGGGTGTATCTGCAGAACATCTAGTCCACAAGACACTTTGCAACACCTCTCGCATGTAACAGGCAAGAAGCCACAGCTCCTTTCCTCTAGGATATTACAGGAGAGTGACTGTCTCAGATGCCTAAAATAGCAGGCAACCTTCTAAAGAGGACTCCCAGATGACTCTAGGAAGCATACATGGCCCATACTATAGGACAGGGTGATGGAGAACCCCACAAGTGAAATCACTTGCACTCTGGGAAAAGATTTTCTCTTAACTCAATCTTAGAGAAATCAATGTATTCCTAAGCACTACACAGCTAAGAATCTAAAAGAATCTGAAAACACTGGAATGTTTTGGTTTATTTTTTTTTTGTCTGTGACTAACCTCCAGTATTTAAAAGAAAAAAGAAAAAAAGAAGCTACAGGACCATATTTCATATCCTTCTTCCCCAAAACACAAGCAACAGAAGCCTACATAGTATCAATACAGCATAAATTGAGACAAATAAATAATTTCATTGACATGAAAGAAGGATGCATTAGACCATGTTCAATAGGAATCTCTGGGTATCTACAGGAGGTCTTCTATTAGGTTAGGTTCCCTTCCATAAGTTATCATGCTGTATCTGTCAAGACTAAGCAGTAGGGAGAGACATGTTTGACCCCCTGGAGGCTTATGCATCCCTTAGGAGGCACAGCAGCCTTTTACAAACACGCTTCAGTTAACGCAGTTAATTCAGAACAGCAGTGTCCAATGTAGAGGACACAATGAGGCTGTGTGCTGGCAACTGCATACTGGCATGGACCCGAGATTCAGATTCATGGGAGAAACCATTCCTCACAGCTTTTCATAGTTGGTTCAATATCACAAAAACAGAAGGATCATTAAATCATCTAATCCAAGCGTGTTTAATAGCCTGCAGACTCCTCAAACCACCCCACCACCCCCTCACCCCCATTTTCTCCTGCATTGAGCATAATAACTTTCAGTTAACTAAAACATCTTCTGAAAAGACAACCAATTTAATCTGAAGACTTAATCAGGATCTTAGTGCTAAGATAAAATCACGGCAGTCTTTCTGGTTTGATTTACAGGAGAAGCGGCACCTATCTGGGTTGCCAGACATAGATTATTGTGCAGATTCTGAAATGCAATCCAGAACATCATCTGGGCTCTCTGGGCTTGTCTTCCCTGAATAGCCTTAATTCATTCACAGAACCAGACAATTATGTAGGTTGGAAGGGACCTCGGAAGGTTATCTAGTCCAACCTCCCACTCAAACTGTGTCCAACTATACCAGGCTGCTCAGGGCCTCACCCAGCAGAGTTTTGAAAGACTCCAGGGATGGAGATTCCCCAACTTGTCGAGACAACCTGTTCAGGTATCTAATCACCCTCATGGTAAAATACCTTTCCACACATCTAATCAAAATTTCCTGTGTTGCAACTTGTCTCTGTTGCTTCTCATTCTATTGCTGTGAACCCTCTTCTCTACATCCTCCCATCAGGTTGCTGAAGACAGCAATATCATCTTCCCCCCAAGATACAGACCAAACAAATCCAGTTCTCTCAGCCTCTCTCACACACTGTGTGCTCTAGCCCCTCATCATCCGCTGAACATACTCTAGTGTGTCAATGTCTATCTTGTACTGGGGAGTCCAAAACTGGACACCATATTGCGAGATGTGCTTGCACAGGTGCCAAGCCAAGGGAAAAAACCTCTTCACTCAACCTGCTGGCTACATTCCTGCTAAAAAAAAAAAAACAAAACATGCAGTTCATCTTTGCTGCAAGGGCATGCTGTTGACCCACGTTCAACCTGTTCACTAGAATGCCAAAGTCCTTTCCTGCAAAGCCACCTTCTACCCCGGGTACTGTCGCATGCAATTGATCCATTCCAGGTGCACAACTTCACATTTGTTTTTGCTAAACTTTGTGATGTTTCTGCCGGTTCGTTTCTGTGAAGGCACTCTGAATACCAGCTCTAACTGCTGTGTACCGACTGCTCCCCAGTTTGGTGTCATCCGTGAACTTCCTGTGAGCACGCTCCACCCCCTCATCCAGGTGTGCAATAAAAACATTAAGCAGCTCTAGTCCCAGGATCAGTCCCTGAGGAATGCCTGTAGAAACCAGCTTTTAGCTAGACGTTGTACTGCAGAACCCAATTCTTCAAGACCAGCCATTCAGCCAGATGTCTCTGCAATGCTGCTAAATTATATTTGGAAGGACTCATAAGTATACTCACACTTAGAACCTTATTTTAAAGCAGAAATGGAGAAAACCAAAATAACTTCCCATTTCATAAACAACTGTGCATAAGTAATAATAGATATAAATTACAAAATAGATTAAATTACACGATAAGTTACATTAGTCAGCTGTATGAAAAAGATTTGATAATCAATTGACAAATCCTAGTTTGTTGGCAAAAGCAGCTGTAGAGGCAAAGCCCTGCTTTTATCAGTATAAAAGAGTTCAATTTTCAGGGATTAAGTCTGAAATAAAACTATACAGACAAAAGACAGTTTTCTGATGAGTTGTTCCTTCTAAAAGCATCAGTACACTACAGAACACTCCTGTAAATTCACAAAATTAATTACAAGATCTTTAGTCACAAACTGAACTTGGGAAAAGAACTGGGTACTACTGTATTTCACACACACAAACCTCAAACTACTCATGTAATTAATTTCACAAATCAGCAGTGTTTTTTGCTAGGCCATCCAGCCAAAATCTTGCCCTAAACGTATTTTTCATTTTCTTCATGCTTCACCTCATGTTTCACACAAACTCGTTGGACACTTCTACAGCCCTCCTCCAAGAAAGATTCTACTTGGAACACTCTTCCTGGGGACGGGTTCCACTGCCCACCATACTAACCTGGGCGGGATACAAAAATACATCATCTCCCCAGACTAATATTGTCAACTTTAAGGGCACTGCTTCCAGACAGTTTATTTCTTAGTTAAGTTATACCACTCATTCTGCCTATATTAATAAAAAAAGAAACATCTGATTGAAGACTTTGCTACTGATTAATACTGAGACAACTGCTTCTCCTATGATCCCCTTCTCTTTGTTTCTGAAGCCCTTCAAGTCGTCGGAAGGTGTTGCCCAGCCAAGATCATGACCCATCCTTGCATGGGTCAGTCTCACAAGCTCACTCTTGTTTGTAAAGAACGTTAGAGACAGCTGTACTTCAACACTTTGACTAAATTTGTCTGAATGTCTGTTCAAAGAGCTGTGTTCTTGTGGCACAACTTTTAATAATTACACCATTAAAAAAAAAAATATATATTAGAGTTCTCAAACCGATTGTTACCTGGTAATCTAAAGACAAAATGATCAGCTACTACGTGGCAGTATCTCTTCCACTGTATAAGAAGTCTAGCCATGAAATAGACATAGTCAACAGGAGTAGCTCCATGATAAAACACAATAAGCCCTGGTCCTTCAGGAATATTTTCGGCACCGTGAAGCTCATAACCTGTCAGGAATTAAAGGCATAACAGATGTCAAAGTCTGATACAATTCTAGCCCAAAGAAACTAACTTGTGGCAAGTTGGCAAAGTAAAATCCATAGCTATTGAAAAGTTGTAAGAGCAAAGCGACTGCTAAAAAGTCAAGCAGTGACTTGCAGCATTTACTAAGTTGCTTTCACAGGAGATATATTTCATCTAAACCAGAAGAGCCACATTTAAAGAAAGAACAACAACAACAAAAAACTCTGGAAACAAAACATCTGGTCTCACTGTCATGAGCTGTGTAATTTTTCCTTATATTTTCTGTTCACTGTCTTCAAAGCTACAGAGTCCTCTGAATCAATCATTCAAAAGAAATCACAGTAAGGACTGGATAGGAGTGGTAAAACAACTATTTCAAGCTATTATTTACATTTCAAAGTTTATTGCTACCAGTAACTGTTTAAGAAGATTTGATGTGACAACATCCATTTACATGTCTCCCTTTACTCCAGGGTATGAAGCTTTTCTTTGTTATTTCTCTCAGTTATACTTGCTCCATTTTTCCATCACTTAAGTACTAAAAGCTATTTGGGGCTTTATATGCTTAACTGAAGCATACATAACACACACAAGTTTCTTACTGAACTTGCATTCCTAATTAAGTTAACAGTGCAGAATATATTCAGTTAATACAAAATATCAAAATGCATCCATATAAAACATATTCAGTTAATACTGAGCAGCATTGTTACAGCATCTCGTTTGTGTTGGTTTTTTTCTTTAATAAACAAAAAACAACAAGACCCCAAACCCTGTCACTTCTTCCAAAGTTAATCAGGTCTGCAATTCTCATTCCATTAATTCTTGTTTTAATTCTGAAGGTACTCTTGGCTCTCCTCCCTCTATTTTACTTTCTACACCTGTGAAGTTGCAACATACTGCAAGCATATCATCTGAACTATCCCAAGGGACCACTAACTGTGCTCCATACCAGCCAATCACAACCAGAATGATACCTACATCTAACATTTGCATAATATATGTAAAGTTACAGGTATCACACACCAGTTTTGGGTTTTGGTTTTGGTCTTTTTGGTTGTAGCGTTCATTCTTTGCTGTTTTTTTTTTTTTTTTCCAATGCTGTGAGATTTCACGATGAAAAGTTCTTCCTATGATATATTGATTAATCAAGTGGAGGAAAAAAACTGCAAAACATTTCATTCTTTAGCAAGAGAAGTGTATAGAGAACATGGAAACAGCTGGCAGGGCAGAAAAAACGGTCACAGTGGTCGATGAGGGACTGAATAAGAATCTGTTCTGTGCAAATAAAAAGTTAGACCTTATAAAAAGAAAAAGTTACTAAGGATGAAAGAAGCCAAGGCCTTAAAAAAATAATTTTCTTATGAAAAAAAAGTAAATAGCTTTTTATTGTGAAGTGAGCATTTTAAGCTCTTTGATGTAGCTGTTGATTTTGATCTAGTGTACTTTCCTAGATTTGAAGTTACATCTTAGTCTTACAAAGCTTATCTGATACAGCCGCTGCACCATCTGGTTATCAATGCCTCGAGAACCCGCTTCCCTTTGACTAGGGAACAAATAGAGATGATTTTCAAGAAGGATTTGTTCTTTATGTAAATTGCTCTTAACCGTCGCTCTCTCCTTTAGCTGAATCTAGACTGAATGGTTCTGAAAAAGGCTTATGATTTCCTTAGAAAGAAAAGCCAAATCATTTATTAAGTCTGTCTTTATAAAAGAAATAATAGTAGAAGGACAAGGAACAGAGCCCTTAGTTTTGACATTCTAGTAGCAAAAGTAGTTGTCAAAAACGCACAGAAAGAAAATTTAAAAAGCACGGTTCTATAACACTTCTGGGCTCTAAAGTCAATTTGAAGTAGCAACTAGTGAGTGAACTGACACTAAGTGGTCCTTTTAGCCATCATCTGGCATTATATGTGAAAGACTGGTTAAGTGCAATTAATTTATGCTATCATGCTGACATATTAGCTATCAGGGAACTGGCATTTAAGTTCCAGTGTTCATATATTGGTGCTTAAATAATATTGTTAATTAAACTGATTTTTAACATAGGTCCTCCTGGAATGAGGAAACCCAGGGGTAGTTATAAAAAGTAAAAAAAAAAAAAAAAATTAAACAACTTCAAAAAGTTGCATATATATTCAACCGGATGAAAGATATCATTTTGTAGCAGCAAAGGAATAAATGCATAAGGTATAAAATTTTACATCCAAAAAAGTCTCAGTGGCTTTTTTTTTTTTTTTTCCAAGCACCACTGGCAGTCATTGATAAAACAGAAAAAAAATTGTCCTGAATTTAAATTTCATGCAACAGCATCAATCATCATATATATATTGATAATCCTGAAAGACAAACCAGGAATAAGAACTTCAACAGTTTTTAACAAGAAGTCAGATCTCACTTACCATGCCATATTCTTCCATGTCCATCCCATAGGGTAGCCAACATTTGTTTTGCACCATCCCAAAAATCATTGGAATAAGCTTCCTTTAGTTCATTCTTCCTTTTATAAATATGAAGAAGGAGAATGGAAGTGTAGAAGAGGATGATGAGAACTCCCGGAAGTAGAAAAACTACTGCGAGTGGAAAAAGCACCCATAAAAGGTAAACTGCATAACTTAGATAATCTTCAATATGCTCCACACCAGTCCATTCTCCCAGAATGTAAGTTAGGCAGGTTAAGTAGGACATAGGTATCGGTCCTGCCGTACAGGATTCATTTCCACCTATCATCTCCTGTTTAATTAAAAAAAAAAAAAAAAAAAAGGCAGATGAATAAATCCTCAAAAAAAGACGTGTGTATACTGTTTAATCATACAAAAAGAACTCTCTGATGCATTTTATTCATATACCATTTACCCCACATCCCAGCAGCACCTATTAGAAACATAATGGTTCATACAGCAAAACTCTGACTTGATTTTTCTGTCCTTTTCTTTTACGTAGTGGAAACGATGACAATTCTAATTGAGAAAGATAGTGCAATTGCTTAATCTCAAACTAAGATTTTACCTCATTGAAAATTGTTCAATTTATACAAATCCAGAATATTTATACTGTTACCTATACCATTTTATACTGTATTTTTGATTTTCAGAAAGCTGTATTAATTAATCTATTGTTCTACACAATACCCAGTACAATCAAAACCTTCTCCCAAGTACTTACTACAACAGAAAACAGCACAATCTCAACTTCAGTGGCGTAAAAAAAAACTACTGAACACTTCTACTGTCCACAAACATATGATGACTCGGGAAGAAGATGGTCTCAAATAAGCAAGTCTCGCACCCGTAGAGACCTTTAACTGTACCTGAAAATTTACAGATAGTGAAATGCCAAGTCCCAGAGAGGCAGCAGAAAGGACGAGGAAAAAAAGATTATAAGAAGTCCTCTGAAAGTTTTAGCTGCCCCGGCTTTACTGTGTCTGTGGATAAGAATCTCTATTCTCCAACACCAGCTCCTAAGAAGTTTCAGGGCTAGACCTCTCCAGGCTGATATTTCAGGTTTTCTATAATTCTGATGCAACACTTTTTTCTTAGCTTTGCACAATTTAGGGGAAAACTTGCTACTCACTTCATCTTACAAACATGAGACAACCTGTATGCTTGGTTATCTTACCTATACCCTTCACATAACACAACATAAATAATACTTTGGGGGAAAAATGTTATCCTAGTCTAGAATAAAGTTTGGGTCAAGACTTGAAATAACTGTTAGTCAGGACGAAGAAGAAAAACATCTTGCAACTATAATGTAGACTTGTAGAGAGAAACAGATTAAGAACAATAATTTCTGAAAGAATCTAAGCTTGGGGTTTTTGTGTTTTGGTTTGTTGTTAAAATGTGACTTACTGCATGTATGACTACAGAGTTCCTATGCCTAGATAGACATATGTCTATCAGTCCTTTACCTTTGCTTTGTTTTTGCAAGCAACAAGTGACTGAAATTCAGAAGATAATTTTTCTAATACAATCAGAACCGCAATGACAACAAAAACTACCAAGCAGATCAGTTTTACTCCATGTTTGCTGTGAGATGTTGAAAGGCCTACTAGAGCAGATCTCATCTCACTAATAAGTGGTCTCAATTTTTCCTCCCATTCTGACAGAGCAAGAATGTTCCTTTTCCTTCTGCTTTGAAACTGGCCTCTACCCACATTGCTCAAGATAATTCCTATTAATGAGAAGAAAGCTGATCTCATGACTAGGACTTGGCTCCCACAGTCCATGCCTGTTCCACTAATTCAGGCTTACAACATTTTGTTCCTCAGCATGTTCTTGAGGGCAACGTGACAAGCAGCTGGTTTATCTTCAGCAATGTATAAGCAGGTAGCATTAGTGACACGCACTTCATTGATTTCATGCATGTGTGTTTGGGGTGTGAATTAGGGGTAAAGGATGGGAGAGAGACAGTGTGTGGGAGAGCAAGAGAAAGCTCTTTCTCATTCCAATGCCAGAGCCCAACTCCAGAACCCGTCAGGCAGCAAACACCCACAGCAAGTACCAGAAACGTAACTTGTGAGATCAAGCAGGATTTAGGAGTAGCATTCAACACTACAATATTTATCAGATTGTTATGCCTGGACTTCTTCAGTGGGTCCACCTACTAGCTAGAGAACAATATAGAGCATGGGTTACGGCACAGAAACATTTTTCAAAACTCAACAGGTGATTATATAGCTTTAAAGGTTACTTAAAGTTATACTCTCACACCTGTTATACTTTTAATCATTTATGGCCTTCTCCAAACACAAAATCCTCATTGAGTAAATTCAAAGTGCTGTCCACAGGTCAGCCTTGCAAACTATTACTAGCCCTTTTGCCTGTAATGTTAGATGTAATACCTTAAGTGCAATCATCACTGTTTTGTAAGTTTACTTGCATATCTGTGCACTAACCTGTAATCGAAATTAAAATCCAAAATCTTCTTTGGTGTCAACCACAGAGGTAACACCTAAAGTACTGCCTTCTCTTAGGGACAGTCAGCCGTACTCTGAGCAATGTTGCTTCCTCATCTTGAGGAGAATCATAGAATAATTTATATTGCAAAGACTCATACTGGCCAGCATTTGTACAACCTCTTGCTAACTAAGGAGTTGGATCAGGTTGCTCAGGGCTGTGTCCAGCCCAGTTTGTAGTATCTCCACAGACAGAGATCGCACTGCTCCTCTGAGCCCCTAATCCAGTGCTTGACCACCCTCACGCTGAAAATGTTTTTCCTTATTCTAGTTAGAATCCCCCTTACTGCAATTTGTGCCTGATGCTGCCTGTCCTTTGCCTGAGCAGTCTACCTCTTCCTTCTCTATAACAACTTGTTAAGAGGAGCAGCAAGATCCCCTTTAAGCCCTCTCTTCTTCAGGCTAAACACACACAGCTCCCTCAGCCTCTCCACAGACACCACATGCTCCAGTCACCTAACGACATCAATGGCCCTTCTCTGCACCCCTTCCAGTTCACTGGCATCTTTCTTGTGTTGTGGGGCCCTAAACGGAACTTGTGGTCTCAAAAATGCTGAAAAGAGGGTAATAAATACTTCCTCAATCTAATGGCTATGGCCTTGCTGAGGTAGCCCAAAATGCAGGCAGCCTTCCTCACTCATATTTGACTTACTGTCCATCAGATCAAGGCCTCCCCAGGCCTTTATCTCCTGCAATTTTGCTCCCCCTGTAACAAGTCCAGTGTTTGTTCTGATCTCACATATTACATCTGCCTAAATACTCTGTATCCAAGCCCAAGTGTGACTTACATTACTGCCACACTGAACACCCTACCAAAGGCAAGGGCAGTGAAAAAGGGAAGACGGATTCTGTCTCCGTGATCAAAGAAAGCACAGGATGCTCCACACTGAATAAAGATCCAACATAGTTCATATATGCTACTAACAGATAACGTCATTTTGATCTGCTCCAACTTTACAGCTGCCTACTCTGTGACTGCCCAGAGCAGTTAAAATTACAAGATAAAGCACACTATCTTCTAGAAACACCAGCAATGTCACTGTGATTAGGACCCCACTCAAACAAGGAGAGACCATCCTGCCCTCCTCATCAGCAAAGTTCTGACATCTGTCACCATCCAAGCCTAAAAAACACAATGGGCTGCAGTACAAAGTCTCACTTTTAGCCAAGTTACAGGCAGAATCCCTCTATAATATGAGCATACCCTTAAAGGACTTCTTATTTTAACCAACATCACTAACACATTTCCTGTTGTGCAGTTCAAACTAAGTATTTTTTAAAAGTTCTAACTTAATAGAGCAGCTTGTATATATTTTCTCTAGATGAAAGAGGTGCAATTTCTCATTTGACTAATGACAGAGTATGCTGACTTAATACTTTACACTGACGGTGAAATGGGAAGAAGGATAACATACAATTCCTTTCTCTGAGTTCTAGCACACAACCCAGAAAAATCCTTAACTAAATTACAACCGTGGTCTTCAACTGTAGTCAACAGACACTGGGTTAACTGAGCCCCTACTGATCACGCTAGAATTGGCGATTACAGAAAGCAACAGATAGTGCTGTAAACCCATACGCAGCGGGATTTCAGCATGTGTATGCAACACGAAAGTGGAACCTGGGGAGAACCGTCCAGTACCTCCAAACTTGAAAGATATCGCAAAGCAACAGCTACAACGTGCTCCTGCCAACAGAACCACACTACTTCCCACTGCGTCAGCCGCTCACAGAGAGTATTCCTACCAGAACTAGCAATGCCACCATAAACACACGAAAAAAACAAAAAAACAAAAAACAAAAACAAACAAACAAAAAAAAAAAAAAAAACCAAAACAAAACAAAAAAAAGATCCTGATAATCCTGCTAAAGGCATCTGCAACTGGAGAGATCCTTCAAGTTTGAGGGTGGTTTCGACTTTGTTTTGAAACAAGCACTGGCCTGCTTCTCGCTTCTGCGACAGCAGGACAGGGCTGGCTCCTGCAGCAGGCTGGACCCGGGTCGACTTTCTTTCTTCTGACGAGAAGGACCCCCGCCCGCCCCGGCTGCCCCCAGCCCCCGGCTGCCCCCCGCCCGCCCCGGCTGCCCCCCGCCCGCCCCGGCGGGCGTTAACGCGCGGCCGGGGGCTCGGCGGCGGCCAGTACGAGCCCAGCCCGCCCGCTCACCTTCCCCTGGCGGCGGCGGCTCCGGCTCCAGCCCCGTGTCCCTGCCGGGGCCTGGTTTTACTTCTCCGCCCGCCGCCCCCGCGGAGGCCGGGTGCCCGCGGGGCGGCCAGGCTAGGGCGGCTCCCCGCGGAGGCGGAAGGGCACCACCGTGCCGCCGGCGGGCGGGAGCGGAGGAGGCGGCGGCGGCGGCGGCGGAGGGAGAACGAGGGCGGCGGCGGCGGAGGGGAAGAGAAGGGGGAACTCCGCGCCACCGGGGGCGCGGGAGCCGCCCGGACCGCGGCCGGCACGCACCGCCCGGCGCTTCCGGCGGGGGAGCGGCGAGCGCCGCCAGGGGGCGCGCGTTCCCCGAAGGCGGGGGCGGGGGGGCGGGGCGGGGCGGATGGCGGGAGGGGGGGGCGGGGCGGATGGCGGGAGGGCACAGGGGTGGGGGGTGACCGCGGGGAGCGGGGCGTGGGGCGTGGGGCGTCCCCTTTTCCAGCCCCTGCAGGCGCTTGCAAGGAGCGGTGCTGCTCCGGTGTGACGTTCCGAGCGCTGTCACGGTGTTCCTGACCGGCCGGCAGCCTCGGGTGCGATTCCTGGATCTGTGTATAAGGGGGAAAAATAAAAAATAAAAATCCACCTGAGAAAGAAGGGGTGTTCCGGTTACAGCAGACAGGGCTCTGCACACACAGGTTCGTGTAGCTGCCCGATGAGCTGGGCCGAAATAGGACGGCGCCTGCGAGGCTCAGACCCTTGCCCGTCCCGCTGCCCTGGCACCATGTCTGATGCAGTCACGTAACCTGCCTGTTCGACTTCCATGGTTCTTCAGTTGTACGTTTGTGTAACTATATTTGCACCGTCGTCCAATTCATTCATTGTTCTGGTGTTACCAGTAAGATATTTTTCCCTGATGCAGAACCTCATCGCTTGAGCTGGATAAACCTTACATGCAAAGAGTTTAAGAAACAGGATTTCCTTTCACTGTTCATTAGACGAACTATACCCCAGAAGAGTCCCACATGACATCCTTGTCTCTAAACTGGAGAGACATGGGATCGGAGGGTGGACCACTCGGTGAATAAGGAATTGGCTGGATGGTCACATTCAAAGAGTTGCAGGCAATGGCTTGATGTCCAGGTGGAGACTAGTGATGAGTGGCATTCCTCAGGGGTTGGTTGGTATTGGAACCAGAGCTGTTTAACATCTTTGTTGGCAACACAGACAGTGGGATTCAATGCACCCTCAGCAAGTTCACCGATGACACCGAGCTGTGTGGTGCAGTGACACGCTGGAGGGCAGGGATGGCATCCAGAGGGACCTGGACAGGCTGGAGACGTGGGCCCAGGCAAACCTCAGGAAGTTCAACAAGGCCAAGTGCAGGGTCCTGCACATGGGTCGGGGCAATCCCAAACACAAATCCAGGCTGGGCAATGAGTGGAATGAGAGCAGCCCTGAGGAGAAGGACTTGGGTGTGTTTGTGGATGGAAAACTGAGTATGAGCCAGCCATGTGTGCTCACAGCCCAGAAAGCCAACGGTGTCCGGGGCTGCACCAAGAGAAGTGTGGCCAGCAGGTCGAGGGAGGGGATTCTCCCCCTCTGCTCCACTCGCATGAGACCCCACCTGCAGTGCTGGGTCCAACTCGGGGTCCCCAACTTCAGGACACAGACCTGCTGGAGTGGGCCCAGAGGAGGCCACGGAGATGCTGGGGGGGCTGGAGCAGCTCCCCTGGGAGGCTGGGCTGAGAGAGTTGGGGGGTTCAGCCTGGAGAAGAGAAGGCTCCGGGGAGCCCTTCGAGCAGCCTCCCGGGGCTTAAAGGGGGGACAGGAAAGGTGGGGATGGACTCTGGATCAGAGGTTGTAGTGATAGGGTGAGGGGTAACAGTTTTAAGCTGATAAAGGGTAGATTTGGATTAGCTGTAAGGAAGAAATTCTTTCCTGTGCGGGGGGTGAGGCGCTGGCCCAGGGTGCCCAGAGCAGCTGTGGCTGCCCCCTCCCTGGAAGGGTTCAAGGCCAGGTTGGACGGGGCTGGGAGCCCCCTGGGCTGGGGGAAGGGGGCCCTGCCTATGGCAGGGGGGTGGGACTAGATCATCTTTAAGGTCCCCTCCCAACCAAACCATTCTGTGATTCTATGATATGATAAATGCTGCTTAAGTTTTGAAACAGGCACAGGTCATTTGCATTTGCTCTTTTTAATTTCTATTTTGTTGTATGACAGAGAGGCTAGAAAATATGCGTAACAGGCAAGTGACTTGATCCGCAATTACAATTCCATTTGTATGAAAAACAACTCTAGTTTCTGCTAGTTTCTATAATATCCATTTCTAGTTTTAGTTTCTATAATGCTGCTCTAAAAAGAGTAAAAATTTAGAGGGGACCTCTAAAATGTAATAACTGACCTCTATTAGAGCAGTATTATATGTTTTTGGAAAAATGGTTTAAATTTTATTTATTAGAAAAATCACTGTCTGATACATCATCAAAACCACTCAGAAAACTCCATAATAGTTTTAGCTATCACCTTGAGGCCCCAGAAAATACTCTTAAGGCAGCTGTGACAGAATATACCTAATACAAATTAATTGTTACTCCAGTGCACCTCAGCTAAGCTGCAGATAATACAGGGATGCTACTGTAAGATGAAATAGCCAGGAAAAACTTGAACTTTGCTAGCAAACAGTTATCAGCTGTCTGAGATATGGGAGATCTAGGCTTAATTCCCTGTTTTGAAAGATAATCAATGCTCTCATTACATATCCCCTATCCAAGGCTAGTGTTCTGAGTTCCCGCACAGCTCCTAGCATCAGGTGTCAGAGGGCATGGAGTTTGAAAGGTTGTGCAAATTCAGATGACTGAAGTGTTTTAATTAATCACATTGTTTAGGTTGGAAAAGACCTCTGAGATCATCGAGTCCAACCATTAGCCTAACACTGCCAACTCCACCATTAAACCATGTCCCTAAGCACCACATCTACACATCTTTTAAATACATCCAGGGATGGGGACTCCACCGCTTCCCTGGGCAGCCCGTTCCAGTGCTTGACAACCCTTTCGGTGAAGAATTTTTTCTTAATATCCAATCTGAACCTCCCCTGGTGCAACTTGAGGCCGTTTTCTCTCTTCCTATTGCTTGTTACCTGGGAGACCTACACCCACCTTGCTACAACCACCTTTCAGGTAGTTGTAGAGCATGATAAGGCCTCCCCTGAGCCTCCTTTTATCCAAACAATCCCAGTTCCCTCAACTACTCCTCATAGGACTTGTGCTCTAGACCCTTCACCAGCTTTGTTGCTATTCTTGGGACATGCTCCATGATGATGCTAATGTGCTTGAAAAATAGGGCAGCCTGGTCAGAGAATGATACTGTCTAGTCCTTCTGCACAGTTTCTGTGATACAAGGAATGCTGTCAGATTCTGTTTACTCTTAATTCCTCTTGTTTCCTCTTGTGTGTCCATTTTAGTATTTGATAGCCCTTTCTTTTTATTCTTTTTCTCACTCGACTTAAGCTCAGGATTTGAATTTTAGGTTATATTGTTGTAGTGCAGTATGTAAGACTTTGTGGTTTGAATTCCTGTTCATGTTCAGGCATATCAGTCAGCATCTTGATTTGTTTTAGTTTATCATCTCCTATGCATGTTGAGTCTCTCCTGAGAGAAAAATCTTTCTTTGTGTATACAGCAATTACACTTAAGGTGTTCAAGCAAACATTCGTGTCCTGGGTTGAGTGAGTGGTGGAGTTTTTTGGTGGCAGGGGAGGTGGCTATTGGGGCGGCCCCCTGTGAGAAGCTTCTCGAAGCTCCCTCAGCTCCACGTCAGCTCCACTTCTGTTTGGGAAATTGAGCCCATCAGCTGCGCCTCTGCGATAACGTATTTAAGAAGGGACGTGGTGACGGGCAGTGGGACTTGTGAGGAGCAGTTGCTGCAGCTGCGTGAACACCAAGGTCAGTGGAGGAACGGAGGAAGAAAGGAGGGGGGAGGTGTGCCGGAGCAGAGACCCCCCTGTATCCTGTGGGGAGACGGCAGGGCGGCCCCCCTGCCACCCATGGAGATCTACGGTGGAGCAGACATTGATTTATGGCCTGTGGCTCCTGCTTGCCATAATCAAGGTTCTGTCCCTGAAGAAGGCCGGGGTCTCATGGGAAAAGGCAGCCCCGCTGCTGTAATTCAGTGCTGGGAGGATTGCAGCATGCGGGGGAGTCCCACGCCGGAGCAGCTCGGGAAGGGCTGCAGCCGTGGGAGAGAATCCAGTTGGAGAAATTTGGTGACCCATGACGGAGCAGTGTGGGGAACGCTGCGGCCCGTGGGAGGAAATCATATTGGAGAAAGTTTGTGGAGGACTGTCTCCTGTGAGAGGGGGACCACGATGGAGCAGGGGGGAACAAGTTCCAGACACTCCCCTCACCGAAGATAAAGGAAGTGGCAGCACTGACTGCACCCCCCATTCCCTGCCCCTGCGCCCCTGGGGGAGGAGGTAGAGATATCGGGAGCAGAGCTGAGCCCGGGAAGAAGGGAGGGGTGGGGGGAAGGTGTTCTCAAGATGTGGCAATGCTTCTCACTGTCCTACTCTGTTAAGTGTTGATAGTGTCTGTAACAAATGTATGTTCTTTTTTTCTTCCCCTAAGGAATCTGCCTCTTGCTTGTGATCATAAAGCAGAATTTTTCCCCATCCCAGTCCTATCTCAAACCCCAAGCCTGGCTCTCTGTCCCTTCTCATTGCTGGATGGGAAGGGAGAGAGAGCTGCTGCATGGTGGTTGGCTGCCAACCAGGCCTAAACCACGACAATTCGTAAGTCTTAGGACAGATTAGAGATTTTTTTTTTTTTCCAGGACAGGATTCTTGTCTTTTTGCTCCAGGAAAATAACTCATCTGTCTATCTAGCTCCCTTTTTTGGATGTGCAAGAAATATTTGTGGAGAAGCAGCATGGGAAGAGGAAGAACTTATTTTAATCCAAAGTTTAGGTTTTAGTTTAGATTTCTTTCTCAAGTGAAACATGACAAAATATTTTATGTATTTCCTTAGATGCTACATAAAGTTTTAGGATGCTGAGGGGAAAAATTATATAGGTATTAAAAGTATAAGAAGGAAAAACGAGGCACAAAAATTACCTTTCTTGGTGTTTGTAGTTAACAGACTTGGTTGCATTTAATGGCATATTGGATAGATTACACAAAGTTTTCCCACTCCCACCAGTAACAACATCCCACAGCTTGTAAAAACACAGTCTGCTTTATAGCAAGTTTCAGTATTCTGCAGGTTGTATTAGGAAGACAACGCTGCCTCTGTCCACTCTTCCAAACAGGCATTTAGGTTCAATCCATATGGGGACGGCAGTGTTGCAGTACTGCATTTTTAGGCAAACCACCAGTGATGATATAAGCCTTGGGGTTGCATTACCTAAGTAAGCTCCCCCTCAGCCCGCTCCCTGCTCCCTGGGAGATCAGGGTGAGTACAGCACATCCGCAGTGCAAACACACCATGGTGCAGGGATTCTCAGGCTGGGGCCAGACTCATCTGCTAAACCTGTATTGTATGGTGCAATAGTGCGTGAATGTACCCGCTCAGACTTGAAACTACTTTCTACATGTACTTGCATAGTGCTACACTTAACTAAAGCTTTTTCTCTCCCTTTGAGAAACTTTTATTTTTTCTGTCGGGGCAAAGTCCTGGATGTAGCATACCTATTTTCCAGGGTACCAAACCACTAAGCTGATTTGTTTGTAGGAGTCTAATATCTGGTTTAACGGGATTACTTCTCTTTCTATAGTCTCTCTAGAAAAATGGCCTAAGCAGTCAATCATTAGATAAAGTGAGACAGCTTCTCTTGTGACACTGTCTTGCGTGGGGTCCAACAGGGATGGTGCCCACTGAAGGGTGGACTCTGGTGGGACAACACCACCTCTGAGGTTCTGCTTCGAGACTGAGCCATGAACTGCTCAAAACATAAAAATACAGATCTAGACAAAACTTCCAAGGCTCTCACATATATGTACATACTTGTTTTAGGAACCAGGCAAATCCTGGTTACATGATTTCCTTTTGGGGAATTTAGCTGCTGCATTGCTATTGTATGTAAGTTTTCTTCTTCAGTCTTTCTGACTTCAGAATATCCTCAAAGACACAGGGGAACCTTCAAGAGGTTAATCATTTTCTTCTGTCAAATCAGTAGGAACTTGTAAATTAAAATGTTTGCACACCAGTTATTAGTCACCATTGCCATAGGACATTGTTTTTTACTGTATGCTGTAAAAACAATGAAATAAACATAAGCATCCTAATCACTTTTACGACGTTTATCAAATCGCTCCAGTAAAGCCTTCCATATGCTGCCTGGGATTGTTTGGTGCTTGCTTATGAGCGCCTGGACAGCAGTCTTTGTCTGAAAAGAGAAAAGAAAGTTGACTTTATAGACCTGCTTATGCAAGGAAGAGCAGTATAATCACTGGCTTCTTCTCAAAGGTTCAAGAGGTATTGGGAAATTCACACATAATATCTACTTTAAGAAAAGTTGCCTTTTATATTAGTTATTTGTACTAATGACACTTTCCTTGGAAAGGAAAGAATAAAAACATTGACTGCAGTTTGGGTAGGCTCTAGTTATTGAGATTTATCAAACCTGGGCATTACTAAGTCAAAGTAGCCTTTAACACATGCAAACATCAAGTTTGTACAGTCTCCATCCCAGAAGGTTTTCATCAAAAGTGTTGGATGACTAACCTCATCTGATTTCATCTGGTCCTGATCTTACTGGGACCAGGAATTTGGGGTTGGGACCTCCATCTGTCCTTCTCAACATGAATTCTTCCATAATTGTATCATATATTGCATGCACATAATAAGAATATTCATATCTAAATTGTGTTCACTTTTACTCTGCGTGGGATTCAAATGTAGATTTGTGAAGAGAATGCATAAAATATTCTGCATTTCTACTAGGGATAAGAAATAATCTCATTTAGTTTTTCCTCATGTATTTAAACTTGAAATAAGGGTAGCTACATACTCAGGTCATCTACCCCACAATAATGGTAGAATATCACTGGGAATATAAGAAAAGAGTAGCCAAACCTTTCCTGACAGATTCATGTCCTGACTCCTTTCCAGGACAGGATCAGATAGAGGTCAGCCAGGCCACTGCTCATCTCAAATCCAATTTTAATTGTTGTTTTGTTTTTTTTTTTTTTTTTAATTAATATGAGCCACAGAAGACCTAACCATACTCCCACTGAAGTGGGTGGTGAAAGGCTTGATTTAGTAAAGAAAACCAATGTCATGGGAAATTTCAATTTCAGTTTTGCAGGTACACAAAATACTGTTCTTACAAAATACAAGAATGTGGATAACTGTAAGGGCAGGCTTAGTACTAATATTGCTTCCAGTCTCCTAAACCTGCTAAAACCAAACTCCACAGCTTGCCAGGGCAGTTCAGTTTCTTTGTAACACACCAAACCTGTCTTTCTGGTTTCACTGCTGTGAAGCCCAGAACAATCTGCAGTAGATCCTTAAAAAATGAGAGGAAGAAAAATATTTTAAAAAAGAAATGAGGGAGGGAGGGATGGAGGCAGGCAGGCAGGCAGGCAGGCAGGCAGGAAGGCAGGAAGGCAGGAAGGCAGGAAGGCAGGAAGGCAGGAAGGCAGGAAGGCAGGAAGGCAGGAAGGCAGGAAGGCAGGAAGGCAGGAAGGCAGGAAGGAAGGAAGGAAGGAAGGAAGGAAGGAAGGAAGGAAGGAAGGAAGGAAGGAAGGAAGGAAGGAAGGAAGGAAGGAAGGAAGGAAGGAAGGAAGGAAGGAAGGAAGGAAGGAAGGAAGGAAGGAAGGAAGGAAGGAAGGAAGGAAGGAAGGAAGGAAGGAAGGAAGGAAGGAAGGAAGGAAGGAAGGAAGGAAGGAAGGAAGGAAGGAAGGAAGGAAGGAAGGAAGGAAGGAAGGAAGGAAGGAAGGAAGGGCTAGCCTTCTTGCATCTTTTTGGGGTCAGCAAGGCGCTTTTTACATCAGTGATTTCTAACAAGTGTTTCAATCTGTGTATTCTGAGGCTACAGCAGATTTTTTTTGCCTAGAGCCCTCCTTTCATCTGCTGTGAAAAATTTTTAGAAGTGCATTTTCTGTATAGATTAGTATTATCAAAAATGCCTAAACCCTGGGTCTATAAAAGTTTTTATGCTCCTGAGCACCACTGATTTCACCAAGCTGTAGGTGCTGAAAATATTTTTGTATTTTGGGTGCAAACTATTTTTTTAATGTTTTCCTTTTGACGATGAGACTGAAGCTCTTGTGGAACTTTTTTCCTAGAGACCTATGTTATTTATAGAAGATTCTCAAAGGTGTTTGTTACATATGAAAGTTATTTTCCTAATTACTGAAAACTGAACTTAAAACATAGTTTACATCATTTCAGTTATCAAAGCTATCAAAGGCATGGGAGAAGCAAAGTTGCCATCCCAAGAAGACAGAGCTCACACATTCTGAAAGGATGAGGGCATCCCAGTCAACTAGTACTATATCAATACTTGTAGGTATCCGTACATTAAATAATCCTGGAGCTCAACTGCCCATTGCTTTAACAAGCTAGTAAAAGTTTATTTGTCTTTATTCAAACAAACAAAAAACTAGTTTCAAGTGCATATATAATAGAGGGCAAAGTATGTAGTTCAATACTGCAAGGAGAGCTAACTTACCTTTTCAACTAATTCCTCTGTAGTTATATTTGGATCGTAAGGGATTGGCTCCCCAATGTATGTGCGAAATTTAACTGGAAGTCCTCCATATGGAGGAGTAAACGGCAATCGAGTACTTTCATACAGCTGCCTAAAAAATCCTGAAGTAGTTTAAGGGAGGAAAAAGTGAGATTATAGTCACAGAAAACACAATACAAACTTGAAATCTGATTGATATGGAAGACTTCTTAAAAATGCATGCTTTATTTGACAGTTGAGAAGAAATTACAGGATTTAGGTAACTGTCCACTAAAACAAAGCTTGATAGACTTAATAGATCACTGAATTAAGACTGCATTAAAGATCCAACTCACACAGCACAAACCAGTTATACACAAGCTGTTTCCATATTTGAGACACCTGACCCACAGCAAGCATGTTAGAGAATCTAAAGTAAGCACAAGCCTGAAAAGCAAAATCTAAGAGGAAAGTGAGAGAAATCTGAAAGTGGAGAAAACATTCCAAATACTTAAAATATATTTTAAAGTTCTTACTTCTTTCCTTAAACATCCTATATCCTTCCCGGACATTTTGAGTATACATTGGAATGATGGGCTAAGGAATCACAAAAAAACAAAAAGGTGGAAATGTTATACCAGGTTTTAATTTATGTTTTAGTGCCTGTTAATGCAGATGATAAGAAAATCACTTGAATACCAAGGATAACTATCAGTCAGTTAAGTAGAAAACAAGGAATCTTGTTATAAAAAAATAAACTTCAGAACAACAATAAAATTCTATTTCTCAGCTCCCACAAACATTGCTGTTTTAAAGTCACCATCTGTAAGGAAAATTACTGACATTGTATTAGAGGTGCATGCCTTTCATTTTGAATGTACATTATAAAAGTTAACTGAGATTCTAAAAAAAAACCAACTTGTATGTTATATATTTATTACAGTACCACTGACTGAAACATAAAATTAAGTTCTGCAGTTTCCCTGTCTAAAGCTTACATCACCTGCGGTGAATCGGAAAGTAATCAGTTCATGAAGTCTTGCAGAAAGCAAGTAGACATTCATGTTTGGTTCACCTCATCTGCTTCCCAAAGTGAGATCTCAATGAAGTGGTAATGTTTGGATAATACCCCACTGAAAAAAAAACTTCTGCAGCTCCTTTGGACAAATAAGGCAATTGTATGTCCTCATTGACCTGGTCTACACACCTTCTGGAGGGCAGTTACAGAACAAGTTCACTTCATTATTGTGACTAAGTCACTTGGGATACCTAAACTTGAGACAGTCATGTCTTACAGCCTGAGGCAAGACTTCTGTTTGCAGACAATCTAACAGTGATTGTATCTGTACATACAGTGACTTTTTTCCCCTCTACTGTCCCTTTTCATTTGTTTGAAACCTCATTTTGATCATGTTGTTGTAATTACTTATCCACAAGGTAACGAAAGAACACCTTTATGCTATTAAGAATCACTACCAGAGAACAGAAACCACAGGACAAGGAAAAAACAAGCAAGAAAAAGACCTAACTAGAGCTTAACAAAGAACTTAGTGATGAAAACCATTTAAAGGAAGAAAACCCCTGACAGATAACAAAAATATCAAACATACATAAAGTTGTAATAGTAAACCCTTCAGAGTGAGAAATTATGGGAAGTTATTAGAAATAAATTCTTAAAAAATAATCAGTAACATCTTTTAAAAGCATATAACTAAAAATACTACCCTTAGCTTCAGCTATTGCTTGAACAATGAATGTATGTCCAACATTTAAAATGTTTGAAACCCACCTATCACACAGCCAAAACACTTTAAATTTTAGGAATAGTGCAGGAGAAACATATCTTAGGCTGTAAAGAAATCTGGCAACTACAGAAGTTACTCACCTACAGTAATCAGCCAATGAAGTACAGAGTGGGTAACAGCGTTCAGTCCCTAAGCTGATAAAAACAGGTACGCACATAAAAGCTTGTGTCTGTAAAGCAGCACGATCAGATCTGCAGTAACCCACAGATTTAGATCGGCTGTGCTGGAGCTGAGCTGGATCACACCCAGCCAGCTTGAAAATCGCAGAATCACAGGATAGTTGTGGTTGGAAGGGATCTCTGGAGATCATCTAGTCCAAACCCCTTTGCACATACATACGAATTTTATAAGACACCGTCCCTTTTTATTTTTTACCTAACTAGACTTGAAACATTTTTTTGGCACAGATGAATTGCAGGGATCTTCAGAAACAATGATTCCTCCCTATTAGCCTGTCAAACTCCAGCCATAGGCAGAGTATTTATGAATCTCAGGTCCCTGGCGTAGAAGAATTCAGCTGAGACAAATATGTCCCAGAAGTTCACTAAGTCAGAATATTAAATGGTAACGCTCTCCTTCTCTCACCCCATGTAAGCCAAATAGCTATATAAAATGAAGTGGAAACTGAATGTGGAAGCCTATAGGCAAGGACTGAGGGGGAAACTATGTTCCTTGTTTGCTTCAGCCTTTTCAATGGAAGAACTGTTGAATTTACGTAACATTAGAAGAATGGGAATGTCTATTAATATATAAAGTTATTTTTATCTTGAAATCCCCATTCAAGTTAACTGTGGCAGTTTACAAACCACCATGTAGTCATTTAGATTACTGTAGTGTGTGTGGTTCTTTGTTTGATGGCTACACTGTATGTAGAATAAATTCAAAAAAGTCACATATAATTCTATCTTGCCTTCATTCAGGATCAAATACGTATTAGCAAAACATACATGAATTGCTACATTACAGAGCAAGTTCTGATAGTTTAGATGAGTCTATCCCCAGTATTCAGTCAATTTACAAGACTGGTTTGGCCAGCATTGAAAAGGATGCAGCAAGAACGAACACAGTCGGACTCCAAATTTGACAAAAGATGGAATCCAGTTACCACTATAAGCCTATCTTTATATAACAAATGGTATATAAGGTTAATATTGCCCCTTCTACTGTTAAATGCACAGCACTTTTTAAAATACTGTTCAGTTCTCAGGTGTGTCTGATCACAGATTTCCAGAGAAATATCAAATGTGCAAAATTCAGTGGACCCTGCAGCTCATTAAAATGATGCCCACTATACTGAGATCCAGTGAGACTTCCTGCTCAAAAAAACCCATAAAACTGAATGAGTGCAATAGTGATACAAGAGCCAGCAGCACTATAAAGGTGAGCTCAGGTTAACAGGTGTCAATAGGAGAATATACTCTCTCTGCCCTCCAGGTAACAGATAATCCTACGTAGCATCTGTTTTACCTAACATGTTATACAAATGCCCACAAGAACCTTTCACATTGCAAGAACCTTATCCTTAATGAATACTCAATTCATTAAATAAAAATCCCCAAAACCCTGTTAATAGAAGGTGCTAGCAATTTTAGGTACTACTATTCAGCTATTTCCAGGGACTTCTAAATTATGGAAAACTGGAAGGATTAAGAGGATTACTAGTAAGGATTTCTGTGATACGTTTTCATCAGTGGCACTCTATATTAAGGACACTCAGAGTGTTTTAATTCATTTTTTACTTAAGAAAACCCCACTTATTACATTGTAGAATTACACTCTAAGGTTCCAAGTGAAGTGAAAACATCTGGCAAAAGATTGTTCAAATGTTTGAAGTAGCTTAAAAGACAGATATGGAAGCAAAATTATTAGAAATCACTCAAGTTGTTAAAGCGATGCATCTGAGTGTTTAAGTATATTATTAAATTAATACACAAGAGGAAAGACTATAAGGGAATTCAAAATGCCCATATGAATTTGACTGGGTTTATCCTATTCACATTCTGATATTTTCCTGGTAGTGGTGCTGTACAGGCCCACACAGTATATGAAGTATTGTGACTAACATTTACCAGCCCGTGCTTTTGAGACAAAGGGCAGGAGAGGGAACAGAAGCACATAAACCAAGACTTTTAAAAGGCTACGTAAGACAAAAAGAAAGAGGAAGAAATAGGACTCCCAGCCTAAAATTACTTTACCCACTGGGTAATACCTCTAAATTTATTCTAGTGTTTAGTTACCTCCCCACAAGATTTCAGGCACATATAAAGTTATGAAGAAATGTTAACCTGAAGTACGCATTTTGCAACCCTAGGTACTTTGTAGTAGGAGCTACAGCACAAGAGACCAAAGTTTGATAAGCAACAAATTGGATGGGTCAAGAAAAAATACATAACTGCACAAAAAACCTGAAGGAGATGGGAAGAAACTCAAGTTTCATGGGGAGAACTCAACTCCCTGTACAGATGCTCTTATATAAACAGAAAAGGATTACGTTTATGTGAAAGTCCAAAGCAGAGCACTGCAGTTGATGAGATATTCATAAGAACATAAAGAAAATTGATGGCTGTGCAATTCATGAGAAAGCAGCAGAAAGCTCACGGCAGAACAGATAAAGCCTGGATGTGTACTGGTATTGTCAGACACAAAGAACGTTAGGTATGCTAAGTCTAAATTAAGACAGAAAACACAGGTGGCAGTTAGGAAAAGGACATGGTTGCTGCTCTTTCAGCTCTATGCCATCCCAAATAAAATTATTTCTCGGACACTATATTGGAGAAACAGTCTCACATGTGCAATTAGATGGAAGAATTCAAAGCGAGTGGTAGAAATCTGTATTCGTAGATCATCATCCATATGGAAAATATAATTGAAACTGTGGAGTGCAAACCAATAGAAGCACATCTCTACAGGATGATGAGAAACTGACATCAACACTGAACAAGTTTCAGTGCTCTGTTTTCATGTAGAACTAATTTTTGTCTGGTACCACTGACAGAATGTCCATTTGCAACTGGACAGTATTAGGTCCCCCTTCTGCTTTAGTTTCAGCCCAAATCAATGCGCAGCCTCAGGTATTCTAACACATTCCATGATATGAATGAAAGCATGGTAAGTGAGGGAGATGGAAAAACTGCTTCAAAAGTGCACCCGTGATTCAAATCAGACACCAATATAGACACACCTTGTGTTAACTGATGCAATCTTTCACAAACATGAAGTACGGATAGGAACAAAATCCTGGACCCTCCCAGAATAAATGAGAAAAAAAGATAGATAAGGATAATACATTGAAGAGCCATAAGAAAATGACTGGGCATGTAGAAGTAAGATAAAGATTTAAGTCTAGTAGGATGAGAAAAAAGAATGAAGCCTTATGGCAATACCAAGATGGACCACAGTGAAGATTCCAGAAATACAGTCAAGACAAGAAACTGGATGCCTGCATGATGGAACAGTAGACATGGAACTGCAGCGATGGATGCCTTGCAACAGTCAAGAAAAATCTATACAGTTCCATAAAACCCTTGCTCCTTACGGATTAATGTGCTTGAGGAAAATGGTGGGAAAAGGAAAAAAGAAATCTTTACTCCCAAACCTCTTATTCTGTCTGGAAGATTTTCCAACAAACGCTCTTGATCTGCATTTTGTAATGAAGCATGTATGCAATAAGCATAAACTGGGATCGGTAACATGTCATACTCACCACTTTTGCATCTAGAGCGACCTGAGCAAAGCCTTTTCGATTTCCCCACATGAGCTGGTAACTTTCATCGCTGAATAGTGCTTCTCTAACTCCACCTGGTGAGATGGACACCAAGTGTCCATTCTTCAGTGCGATAAGACACTCCTCCCTTGTACCTGGCATAACACCCGTCACTTCCAGTAATAATTTAAGTCCTGCAATAAATAAGTAGCAAATATATATTATTATAAAAATATATCACAAATACTGCTTGCATGTGGGAACAAGATTACAGCTAAACAAAAACTTAATAGCTATATATTTAGACTAAGGCAAATTTGTACAAAGGAAGTAAAACACCTACAGAGTGAATATTGGCAAAATGATAAATATATGACTGTTTCTGCCCAAATGTTATGAAGATTAACAATCTTATCAGGAGCACCTCAATAAACTAATGCCTCCACATGTTATTTTCCATAAGTATCAAAACACCAGACATGCAACGGAAACTTGTGCATCATAGCTAGAAATCTGAAAACAAACATGTATTCCTCCCTCCTTCTTTATAAGTATTTTAACACAGAAAAAAAAAATCAGTACAATAAAGATTACTACAAAAATAAATACTTGACAAGCAACTATTTTCAGTGCTCTTTAAAACATGATGTTTAACATTTTAAACGTTGAGGTTTTGACTTGTTAAATGAAGTGTTTTACGATTAAATTGCAAACTATGTGGATCAAATTGGACTGCTGTATGACTCGAGATGCATGAATAGCAGAAGTTAGCAGGGCGGTTTTAGCACTTCATGAACTGTTCCGTGAATCTCCTTCCTTTGTTTCCATAACTGGGATTTCTCCAAAAAGACAGACTGAGAACCACAGAATCTCATATTATCTTCACGTTTTAAATCTATCCATTTGCAGCTCCCATAGAGAGTTTCAGCAAATGAGAGTTTCCCCAGTCCTCAAACTCAGTGTTACAGCAGCATGGTTTGAAAATAAATTGTTTATATTAATAAATGTAAACAACCACAAACAACCAGCGTCTAGCACTGCAACTTTGACAAAGGTCTGCAACAGAAACTTTGGAAGACACTGGAAAACACAGTGCTGCATCTTGTAATTTAATCGTATTTAATCTTATTCAAGGCATCGTGCTTGATGGATTTTTCTGTCAGATACAGATGTTGGCTCTGTTTAATCGCTTTGTGAACACATATGTATTCCTGTTTTATCCTACAGCCAGGAATGCCATATCCTTATTAAGTGCATAGGTACTTCCTTTGGTTGGTTTTAAAACTTTTGCCTGTTAAGAATGATGATGTATCACATGAACATATTATCATTTCTTATTCCCCTTTTCCAGGTCACATGGAGTTTTATATCCCTCAGTCATACAAGACTTCTGTCCTATATACTAGCTCTTCAGAGGAAGCCATGCCAGGCCTCTGATTATCCTTGGCCTTTTTGTAGCTTTATTACTTTGCAGCTTTTCTGAGATGTGAAGACCAGAATTTCACGCAGTACTCAAGATGTAGGCACCATATGCATTTTGAGTACATAATGGCATTTTCTGGGGTTTTTTATTTTATGATAAGTCTCAAATTCTGTTTGCCTTTTGGTGATTGCTGACATATTCCTAAAGCCATCTAGAAAATGTAAAGCCTAATTACATGTTTATATGTTTAGACTTGTTTTTCTTTCCTTCTGTACCGCGTTGTAACTGAGTTTCATCTGCCATTTAATCAGCAAGTGATTCAGTACTGGTAGATAACCGTAGTCTCTGTGGGGGCTTTTACTGCCGTGAAAAACAATGGCCAGTATAAAGTTTCGTCAACTCACTACTGGTCTAGATTATGATTATTTTGAACAAAATAGGTGCCAGCACTGATCTTCATCAGTATACCTGATGAATTCTGCTTCTTTGTGAAAATGAGCTATTTCTTTCTACCCTTTATTTCCTACCTTTTAACCAGTTATTCATTCACAAGAAGGACTTCTCCCATAACTGTAATTAATCCAACAGACTGAGGTTCATCATATAGTCATGAGCATTCTTCAAAGAATCAGCCTGTGAAGTGCAACATTTCCCTGCAAAAAGCAGGTAAGTATGGTAGAGCAAGAGAAGGTTAGGGAGAAGTTTCACTCAGTCTATTACTTTTAGCCACATTTTCTACTAATGCAGCAAATGGGGAGGCCTAATCTCCATTACTTGTGGTCTTTTTACCAGATGCCTTTTTGGCAGCCTTTTCATAGGTTGACACCATATTTGTCACCTTCTGTTCCCGTAGCATGAACGTAATTCAAGCAATATGTTATATACACATCAGTAGTCCAGAAATTTAACAGCTAAGAGTGTTGTTTTGTTCTGACAATAGTTTGCAATACATTTGTAATAAGAATCTGTGTTATCGATACTTCAATTTGAAACAGCAGCCTCACACTTATCCCTTAAAAAAAGAAGTCTCCTTTACAACATTCTGCTAAGCTTTATCTTCCTTTAGGGGTCCTCTTAAAAGCCAATCATTTCTTGATGACTTCATGCTTCTGGTGTGTTTAGTACTACATAGTATTTACTAAGTATGCCTTTAGCAAATTCTTCCTTGTTATCTTTCTAGGGATGCCTTAATATGTTCTTGCATCAAATGTGCCTGAGTTTATGCTCTTTGTTTTCAGTGTTTGGACACGACTTCCTTTTCTGAATAATGTCCTTCTACATTTAAATGGCTTCCTATGCTCTTTACTATTATAACAATTTTTAATGTAAGTGGTATAAAGGTGCTTTTAAATAATCTCCCTGCTATTCCTTCTGGATGCTCCTTCTTTATGCCATGTTTTTCTAAAAATTAATGAGGATTGCTTTTCCATATCCTCTCCTTTCCACAATGGAATTATTTCTCAGCCTACAATGTGTTCAGTGTATTACAGTGGTCAGTATTACAGAGGTCTTCAACAGTAAAATCTTCAAAGAAGTTTTGCGCCCTACTCAAGGCTTTGATCAAAAGATAGATTTGATGTCATACCCCACTGCAATGGCTACCCAGCATCGAGGGCAAGTCAGTAATTGATATCCTACCATTCACTGGGCTCTTCTGCACGCATAGCCCATGGCTGACCAGCCAGCACTTGGTCAATATAGTCCCATCCTATACTTTGTGCTGAGGCATGACATTTCATGCCAAAGGGATTATATAATGTCTGTTGGCTTTGGAGGGTCTACCAGTGTTTTTATGACCTTTCACTTAAAAGACAGGATATTTTACCCCCATTTGCCCTTCTGCATCTAGTAGCTTTTAGTTTAAAAGTCTAAAAGCAGTCTTCTAGTTTAAAAACTCTTTTGAAAGCATAGTAAATATATAAATTCCACCAAAACCAGCAACAGGTTGAGTGAATCCAGGATGCTTAAATACAAGAGAACGTGTTCTTACCTGGTAAACGAAAGACAAAATGATCAGCTACTGACAGACAAAGCCTTTTCTTCCAGAGAAACAGCCTAGACAAAAAGTAAAGGTAGTCTACAGGAATAGCTCCATGGTAATACACAAGAATACCCGGTCCTTCTGGTAGATTTTCCACACCATGAAGCTCATAACCTGTTTGGGATGGAAAGCAGTACACTGACAATGATAGATGTAAATCATCTGGCAGTTTAAAGAAAACTGTTTACTGTCCTTTGTTAAATGACTCTCAGAGAGTTGTGAAAGCCTCTGCAGTAGCTTTTAAAATAATTAAGTTCTGGATGGAACTTTTGGTCAATAACAAAGAGAAAGCCCCATAGGTTATCAGTGAAATACTTTCTTGATGAGTTTAATCACCAGATCAAGCCTGAACCTGACATTTTCCCCAGTGAGGGGGCTGAATTAATTATTTCCGAACTTTTCCCAGTCCAAAGTACAATAATTTAAAGGGAAATTACTATACTGGTATGAAACCACTTAAATGGCAGAATGAGAGGCGAACAAGCAGTCAGGATGCTTTCCTGAGGCATAGAAGTATGAATGAAAAAGTTGTGAGGAAGGATAGCAACATAAAGAACAACTGGTTATTCATCCTTAGGGCAGCAAAGTTAACTGTTGCTGGTAGCCTTAAACTACATCTGTGGGAAGAACAAGATCCTAGCATGCGGCTGAGGATTTTCCTAGGGAATAGGGTGCATTGGAAGCATCTGAAGGTTGAGTGTAATGAAACTGGAAAATCAGGTTACTTTTAAATTCTGCCACAGTACAAACTTAAATGTGGTATCTAATAATTATTTGTCCATACAGCTCTTAAAATTCTTTTCAATTGTCATAACAAAGTAGCTTTCGCCAACTAAAAATACACTAATTACATTTCCAACTAGTTGCTGTGTTTTGATCATTTATTAAGCGGGTTTTACGCAGCTACTAAGGTAAAAAATAAATCACACCTCTGTCTTGCAATTATGTTACTAGAACTACTACTAACAGTGCACTTCACTGATGCTACAGACAGATAAGTGCACCTGCCTGTCCATTTAAGAGAAATTTATCCTATATAAACTGATTTCTCCCTTTCATTCTGCTTATTCTATACTGCAGTCAGTCTTTGAGGTAGAAACTTTTGGGTTATATGCAATACAAAGTATAGTAAAAGTCATTTCTTTGCATCCATTTGGAAGAAATAAAAAAAATAATAGTGAATACACCTAAGTTTTAATTATTTACTGTAATTCACAGCTTTAGACAAGTCACATCATACTTACCATGCCATATTCTTGCATATATATCCCAAAAGCTTGCTATAGTTTTCCTTGCACTATCCCAAACATCGCTCAAGGGATCTGCTTTTACCTCACTGTTCCTCTGATATATTAAAAGCAAAATATTAGTAAGGTAAATGAAAAAGAGGATTGTTAAAGGAACTATAAAAAAAACTAATATTGCACTTATTGTCAGTGAGACAATGACCACATGAAAAAGGTATTCCTTCAGGTACTCCACAACAATCCATTCTTCTAGTACATAGGCAAGGCAGCTTGGGTCGGTCATCGGTATCTGTCCTGAAGTGCAGAATTCTTTTCTACCCATCATGTCCTGCATGGAGGGAAAAAAAAAAAAAAAAAAAAAAAAAAAGAGCTCTAATTTCTCTAATTATGGCAGTTTCTCAATTTTCCTCAAAAGGAAAAAAGTTAGTTTTCTGTAGCTATACCTGAGGCCTATTTTGGTACAGCACAGAGCTGAACATTTTGTCTCTCTGTCATTCTAAGATTGATTGCTGCTGGCAACTGCCATCCGCTACTGTCTCTAAATGGTGATGAGATTATCCTGTGTATTTATGGACCTCTTATTCAGCCAGATAACAGGGGCTGAAAGGACAAGCGCTGGAGCCCAAGGAAGCCTCAGGATCTATGCAACATGGCTGACCCGATGATTTCTCTGTATAAGTATGGCTCACTTTTTAGAAGCTCAGCAGAGGGTAAGGGATAAGTATTTTCAGCAGCGTTAGCCAAGAAGACTTCTACCAGAGGTCTGGGCTCTCCTGATCCTCTGCAAAGAGTCCAGCCTGGCATTCTGGTCTCTCTCCCAGTTTGGCAGCATCCAGCAGCGAGGAGGACAGACAGCGGCGTCAGCGGCCGAAGAGTTGTCAAGCAAAACCTGGGCAGCCGTGCCTCCTTCCCGATGACTGGAGGTGCCCGGGACAGCGTTTGGTTCTGCTGGTAGCGCTGGGGCAAGCAGCTCTTCGCCCCTCATCCACACAGCCATGCTGACACACCCTTCCTTCAGATTTTCCAGCCCTGGCAAAGGCCAGGTGGGCTCCACGGCCCTGGCGATATGTTTGTCACCTGCAGCCCCTCAGTTAGTCTGCTCCTACGGCTGACCCTGCCTGCCTGCCTGCCTGACGGCGGGTAGTGGTTTCTCTGGAATGCAAAAGCACTCCAGAGTGCTTAAAGTCAGCTGGCTGATTTTAAGACTTTTAGCATTAGCCAGAGATTCAGACATTGCAATCAGGTTCAGTAATCCATAACTGAATGCAGCTTTTATTTGCCTCAATCAGGTTACTACCTGTTTAATGAGTAAATTACTCTTCTTCAGCACCAGAACAAGCGCCTACAAGAAACAAATAGTAATTGCCACAGTCAGTGCCAAGATCATAAAGTACAGCAAGTCCAGACTTTTCTGACTTTATGTATTCAGCTGTGTACTTGTATGAGCGAACCTTTTATACACTACCCACTCCACTTTTGGTTTTCTTCTTTGAAGCCCTGAGGAGAATATAGGGGTCAACTGGTGTAAAGCACAGCTCTGTTCAGAATTATGGATGACAAGGAGTACAGCAAACAGCAAAAGCCAAAAGCAGGCACGAACAAGCACTCGACTCTAACATGCAGTAAGGCAAGCAAGCCGCACGGCAAGCCCTGCCAGTGAGTAGCTGTAACAGCTATAAATTTGGTCTCGCACACTCCCATCAAATCTGTCCTTATCTCAAACCCTTTGAACTCCACGCTGGGCACCAAAAAGGACTGTTGTGGTTTAACCCTGGTAGGCAGCTGAGCCCTACGCAGCCGCTCACTCACTCCCCCCCACCCTGCAGTGGGATGGGGGAGAAAATCAGTAGGGTAAAAGTGCAAAAACTCATGAGTTGAAATAAAGACAGTTTCATAGGTAGAGCATAAGCTGGAAGGATAGTAAACTAGGAGCTCAAAGGAAGCAAGCACTGTATTAAAAGTTGTTCAGCATGGCACAAATGAATGAAACCAATGTGATGAATGGCACAAGAATTCATAAATAATGTTTATATTCTGATGACTTGTGCCTGACTAATATATAGGAAGATCTGGAAATTGTCACTGAAAAGAGATTTTATCAATAACATGAAAGAAATAAAAGAAATAGTCTGCATGATTCAGGTATTAAAATATCTGCTTAAAAGGTGTTTAAGAAGGGTAAAGCTGATGGCGTGGTGCTACTCTATAGTAAAGAAGTTATTAATTGTTTAAAGCTGCTGATAAGAACAAGGACTACAAACCCTCAATGCTTGCAAGCATGCTGTGCTGACAGAGCCCAGGAGAAGGCCATGTTAAGGGCTTCCCTCAGGCTACTGAATCAAAAATACTAAGCAGTACTTGGAATAAGTCATTCAGCCTGCAACGTTAGGGTGAAGGAAGCAAGTGGATTTTGCATTGTCATGGGGGCTTCAGTCTGGGAACACAGACTGCTACAGCCAGTAGCAAAACTGGCTTAACATTTCAGATAAAATGTCCGTACCCATAGTAAATGTAGCAATAATAACCGCTATATCATATGGGGATTAATTTGGATATCTTGATCACTGACAGGAACCTGGCGATCAACAGATCATATAATCTACCAACATTTTAAGATTAACAAGTTCAGTTATCATTTTGTTTATTCTTTTTGAAACCATCCGAAATTCCCTCTGGCCTCCTGACAGTCATTTTCAGTAACTCTTGACAGACTAGGGAAAATCCAGAGGACTGGAAGAGATTTAAGATTATTCCAAAGTCCCCAAACACAAGTAACTGCAGACTCAGCCGCCAGATAAATAGCTGGCAAGATTACTGAAAAGCTGGCGTGTGATGAAGGTAACGGATGCCACTCATTATAATTTTGTGGGAAATAGACCTTATAAACACATGCATTGCCATTCTTTGAGGAAATTAGAGGTTTAACAGCTTGTGGGGGTGCCATGCACATACGGTTTTACTAAGAGCTTGTCAAAGAGTCACTTTAAGCTACACGTCAGCTGCTACGTGGAACTCACCCTTCCACCAGCACCTCACCGTGTGTGTTCTCACCACCAGCCTGGTTTCCAACAGAATCTGCTGGCTCCCTGCTAGCAGGATGACTGTGAAAATGCTGACATACGCAAAAACACTCTCAGCCCAAACTTAAGTTAGCCTACGGGGATTCTGAAAGTATATTACAAATGCCACCTGACATTTTGGTTGAAAAATAAAGCTCTTTAAAATGGAGCACGTGAAATAAATGATGTCATCAACTGAGATAACAAAAAAGTATCCATCCGTGGTGGAATCCCTGCCAAATGAGAATTGAGTCTGTGCCCCACATTATCCAGCATTTTCAGAATCTTCTCCTAATATTAATAGGATGCTTACAGTGATCAACGTAAACAGTGTAACATCCCACTGATTCCTCTTCCTCCACCCCAATTTTTATGTAACAGGAAATTATTTGCTGGCTGAAAACCCACTACATTTAACCCTGTTTGCTCACAGACTACAGTATAAACAAACACAGTAAATTCATTTCTGATTTTAAGTTCAATGTAGACACTAAAAAAAAGGCTTTAGAAAGAAAATAAAATACTTAAATGTGCAAAAGTATTTTTTTGAAAAAACTCCAAAACTGGTATTAACAGTACAGATTTGACTGAGGACCTATGAAAGTAGTTGGGTACCCATGCAGTGAGTTCACTTTACACCAGATAGCTGGGTGGGTGGGATACAAGCTAATTCCACATCATTCTAGTTGAATCCAAGCCAGAGTGGAGACAGAATAGATGATTGACCAACTGAGGATAAATGAGAAGCAGCGTGGCCTTTTCTGGAAGTTGGGTGCTCAACCAGGTTTCAGTTCCTGCTCCCACATTTCAATTATACACTACATCCAACATTTCATAAGGTAAGAATGAACTCTGATCACCGAACCCTGACCTTGGCTTTTGGACCATATGATGTGAGAACAACATGGTAAACACATCCCTCTGTACTACCAGTGTAACATCAAAGGACTACAACAGGACAGAAGTTCTATTTTTGCCATATTCTACTGGCTATCTCTCACCAGGCCCTTTCTGAGACCACAAACACAATTTTGAAGCATCCTTTCTATCAAACACCATATAGGAAATTATTACGTAACTATCGGAGTGCCTATTGCAAGGCTATTACTAAACACCTGCTTAACAATGCAAGAGTGTTACTGCAACATGTTTACTCGTAACTGCTCTGGTTTGCCCCAAGTCTCAAAATTTAAGAGAGACATTTCTCTCTGTTTTTATCAGAAGTGATCCAAGAGCAGCTCCCATGTTCTTCAATACTGAATATCCCATAAAAAGGTCAACAAGCGAGTGTAGTGTTTTGTGAACAAACATTTTTGAAATTGTCTTTATTTTTCTCATCTCATCTAGTGATGGGCTTGAAACGTTACTGTTCTGAGTGATTTTATTGTTCTTCTAGAGAACAACATCAGTGTTGACAAGGGAGATGATTGTTTGGGCTCCACCTATAAAGTATATTGAATTCCAGAGTAATAGCTGTATCTACAATGTAAAATTACAGGTGATGTCAGAGGGAGACAGCACTAATGTCTCCCCTTCCAACAAAAGCTTCCCATAGTACAAGTCACTCAGATTCCGAGCTCTTGCCGAAACATCATTTGTTGATAAAGACAATCTTATCAACACGATAATCCCAGGGAACGGAAGTGGAACAAAACTGTCACAAGAGACCTACGGCATCAAAATTAAAACCTTGTAGTTGGCTTTCAACTATGGCTAAAGAGTGGATAGTCTTGGGCTTGCTCCTCACCAGTTTGTTCTTGGCAGTAGGTTCAGCAGAGCATAGTGGGAAGATGAGCGTAAAGTAGCTGGAGATTCTTCCACAGAGAATTTTACACCAGCTTTTTTGTGGCAGGCTCCTACCTTCTCTTCTGTCAGACTCATCTGCTCTGTTTCACAAGGGCAGTGATCTAACAGTTACAACTCTGCATCTTGCCTTTCGATGCAAATGAAATCCCAGTTTTACATTTCTCGGATTTGTTTGGTTGTTTTGTTTTGTTTGTTTTTTTTTTGGTTTTTTTTTTTTTTTTGTGGCAGTTTCACAGAAAATTACTCTCTTGCTGGTCTCACGCTTCCACCACCCACTTTATTTGCCTCCATAAATCCACCCATCTTGTACAGTGCTGTTTGTACAGCTCGCCTTACCTTCACGGATTAAAAATTCCCAGTGCCCCAGCTCCCCATGGCTATTCCCCCTTTCACACACACCGAGGGTACCTAACCCGGCGTACCGCTTTCCATTTATTCTCCTCCTACAGCCTCAGCGACTACGATTAACTGAATTCCCACTCGGGTTTGTTTCACCACGTGGAAACGCGGATCTGCGGCCGGGCGTCCGCGCTCAGCTCAGGCTCCAGGAATGCGGCAGGGAAAGAGCTGGAAGCGGGTGTACGAAGAGCACGACCCGCCTTCAGCGGTGGTACCCGCCGTGCTCAGGCACGCGTGGAGGACAGCGAGTGCCCGACACCGGCGCTGGTCCCTTTTCTTCACCTGGAGACGTCATTGCAGACGTCACCGCCGCGAAACCTCTGGGGTCTTCCTCAGCGCGCGGGTGCGAAGGGGCCCCGGGAAAGGATCGCTGCCGGAGCACACGGGGACCGCAGCCCCACAGGCTCCCCGCGGGGGAAAGAGCCCCCCACACACACGCACGCTCCCCCCTTTCTCCTCCTTCCCGCGCCTGCCGCCGGCGTGACGTCACGGCCGCCCCCCCTCCCCGCTCCCGGGGCTGCCGGCGGCTCCCCGGCCCCGCTCCCCGCCCCGCTCACCTGCCCTCAGCGGCGGCGGCCGGCACAAGGACCCCGCGGCCGGGGCCCCCGCCCGGGATAAACGCGGTGCCGCCCCCGCGCCCGGGCCTGAGGAGGCGGGGCTGGGCCTGGCGGGCCCGCTGGGTTCCGCGCCCAAATCTCCATTTTTAATTCTTCGGCGATTAAAAATCGCGGGAGGGGCGGCGTGCGGCCCCTCAGAAGCCCGTGGGGAGGCTGCGGGGCGCGCCTGAGGGCGCGCAGTCCCTCTGCCGCGGGGGCTGCAGGCCGGGGTGGGAGCCGGCGGCTCGGCCTCAAGGGATGGAGCGGTGTTTCCTACCCAGCTGCTTCGAAATTACAGGCAGTTCAGGCAACATATCCTACGGGTAGGGGGGGATTTAAACCAGCTGCAGGGAGTGGGTCTCAGTATGTGCTCCGCTTCCCCGCCGGACCCCATCGCTGGTCCCAAGGCGGGAGTTCCCACGCTCTGCTTGGAAGAAAGAAGCCTCCCCGCCACGTCCCTCCGGTCAATTTGTGCGGACATCAATTAAGGAAACTTTCAGACAGCAGAGTTGAGAATATGCAGTTGTTTTGCAAAGGGAAGGATGTCCACAAAATGCTTAAGAGAACTGGCTCACGCGCAGACTTGGGGTGTAGTTAAATAGAAGGCAGCTAGACCATGCTATTGTGGCTAAGTTAAGCAGAAGAAACCTGAAACGTAACACTTGTGTTGTACTGTTGTTCAACATATGGCTAACACAACAGAGGTCATGTTTAGACTGATCAGGCCAAGAGGTATCAATTTTGACATTCAGGAAAGGATTAGCCTGACCCAAAACAGGTGATAGAATTTCATTGATTTGATTTGATACGGAACAAGAAATTGAAGGATAACAGTGATTTGCAAATGAAGAGGAAGCTAGAATCTAGTTTCCTGGGTGATTACCATAAAAATGTATATATGATTAGAGTCAACTTCTGAAGAATGAAAAGGCTTCTGAGAGAGAACTTGGACTTTTTCTCTTCCAGGATACACCGTACCGATTCAGGACTGAAACAGGTCCTGAAGGAGAGCAGAGTTGTCCAGCAACTGCTTGCTGTTCACGGTGTGGCACTGCTTCAAGAAAGATTCACCCAAGCCTGAAAATGCTTAGAGGTCTAAGTGAGCATATTCAGTAACACTGTAAAGGGAGTTTGCAATGATTGTCCCGTAGATTTTATTCCCAAAGAGGATTTTTCAACAGCTAGACCCCCTCCAAACTTTTGAGTTTTGATTCAGCTGACACATGCAAATTGTCTTGCCACCTACTCCTCAGAAGATGCAGCAGGTAGCAAGCAGGGCTCCAATCCGAGCATCTCCTCTTATATCCACATTCATCCCAGCTGCAGCCCTTGCGTTGCTCCCATGAAATAAAATGCATGGCTGCAGTACGTTTCTTCCCACACAAACGCTGTGCTGTAGCTGTGGTTCAGGGGAAGTAGTCACAAACCTGCAGAAAAGCATCCACCAGTGATGCTCTTCTGCTGGCTTTTGGCTTTTATGGCTCAAGGCAGATTTGTTCAATAACAGCTTTTCTCATGAGGGAAGACATTTAGAAAAAAACTTGATGTTCCTTGCCTAGCATGAAGCAGCAACATAACTGGAAAAGTGTTTTTGCTACTGAAGAGGTTAATAGAATATAGACATAAAGTCTTAAAGGGGCAAAAGTACATTTAGGTGATCAGTGCAGGTAGAAAAAGGGTTCTACATAATGCTTACTGGCCAACATCAAATGTAGCTGAAATAAAGTATTTTGTTTGGTTTGCCTGTGTTTTGTTTCCTTGTATTTACATGATGGTCTACTGTCGTGCAAAGAATCTGGGTAGAAATGAAAAAACTAAAACTGCCGTTGAAGAGCAGAACTATAATGAAATAACAATTATGATAACATGGATATTGAAAAATGCATTGGAATAAAGAGCACTGAATAACATTGTATGATAAGATAGAATTGCATTGCTATCTTTGCTTTTCCTTCTCACTTTTTTTTTTGGAGTCATCTTGAAGAAAAGTGGTCTGAGGCTTTTTCAGAGTATTTTTAGGAATCTGGTATTAGCATCCAGCAGCAGTTTTAGATATGAAGGGAGATTTTTAATGATGGATAAAGCTACTATGAGGAATTTGTGTCATAACATAAAATTAGGATTTAGTCATTTGAATCTCAGGGAGTGAGAAAAGATATTAGAGATGCAAAATTTCAAGTCTGGAATTTTTAGATTAAAAAATGGGCAAAAAATTTAGAAAGAAGGTTCCAAAATAATTGTACAAATACCTAGTATACAATGTGTATTATCATGAATATAAAGATTCTATGAGAAACAGAGCAAAAGGAACCGGTTGGTAGGAGCATATGTTAATTGGGGGGAGGGGAATAATGGTCAAGATTTCCTACCTTCAGATAAAAAAGTAGCAACGAATGAAGGTGAGATAGAAATAAAAAATTTTCAGAGGGCTGAAAAAGTACTTTGCTCTGATTTTGAATAAAGACAGTGAGATGGAGCATCGGCAGATTGATAATAAAGATGAAGAAGCAGAAATTACAAAGTTGGAATGAAAGATCAAAGTTCAGAAATTGTAAAGATAGAAGCAGTTCAATTTCTCAATCTATACAAGAACAGTGTCTAGCAGATATAATTACAAGCCCAGTAGCAAGCTTCATGAAGTTAAGAATACCAGATAGCTAAAGAATAGCAAATTTAGCACCTATATTTGAGACAGTAAGAACAATTAGGAGTCTCCTGTATTCTGCACTGCACTTCCAGAACAATACGTGTTGAGAAAATAGTATTTCAAGGTGTGGAGAAATGCTAAACTCATGTTTAATTCTCTAATTGTAAATCCTGCCAATGGGATAAAGCTACGGAAGGGGTAAGTATAACCTGAGGGTATATCTGAGAAGAATTCCTGGTAGGATTAGTGAAGTGTTACAGCCAGCACGGAAGGCATTACTGAGATCTTTGAAATACTGTATGTAATTCTATTTCCTTCTTGTTTATATGGATTAATTTAGATTGAAACAACAGAAAAGAGTCCAAAAGAAGACAGAGATGAAGAGGCTTGTTTTAGGAGAATAAGACAGTGGCATGTGGCTTTTTTTAAAACTAGCAAAATGAAATTTCAAACAGGATAAAACTGTCACTGTTAAGTAATTCTGGGGGTAAGAAGGAAGAAAAGTAATTCAATTAAAGGTTACTCAAATCACATAATAAATAAGTGCTAATGGCTAGTCTATAACTAACACATTTTGTATTTGGATAAGTTACCTAGCAAGAAAAAAGAGGTTCTGGATGTTTAGGAGAGAAGTAACAGAGTTTCTACAGCTATTTTGAAGTTGAAGTAAACACATTACAGAAGGTTGGTGGTCCCAGTCTGGTGTTGCTTGCACAACACTTCAGGTGAGTTGCACTCGGACCTGGCTCCCTTTTGCTGAGGACAGTTCCAGCAGAACATGGAATGATTGATCCAGCTGGTGGCTGGTCAGAAGTGGTGCTGCCCAGGGTTCAGTATTGGGGCCAGTTCTGTTTCATATCTTTATCAATGATCTGGACAAAAGATCAAGCTCACCCTCAGTAAGTTTGCAGACAACACCAAGTTGGACGGGAGTGTTGAAATGCTTGGGGGTAGGAAGGCTCCACGGAGGGATCTGGGCAGGCTGGATTGATGGGCTGAGGCCAACTGTATGAGGTTCAACAAAGCCAAGTGCCGGGTCCTGCACTTGGGTCACAACAACCCCCTGCAATGCTCCAGGCTTGGGGAAGAGTGGCTGGAAAGCTGCCTGGTGGGAAAGCACCTGGGGGTGTTGGTCGACAGCCGGCTGAATGTGAGCCAGCAGTGTGCCCGGGTGGCCAAGAAGGCATCCTGGCTCGTATCAGAAATAGTGTGGCCAGCAGGACCAGGGAAGGGATCATCCCCCTGAACTTGGCACTGGTGAAGCTCCACCTTGAATACTGTCTTCTGTTCTGGGCCCCTCGCTACAAGGAAGACACTGAGGTGCTAGAGCGTGTCCAGAGAAGGGCAACAAAGCCAGTGAAGGGTCTAGAGCACAAGTGTTATCAGGAGCAGCTGGGAGAACTGGGATTGTTTAGCCTGGAGAGAAGGAGGCTCAGGGGAGACATTATTACTCTCTACAACTACCTAAAAGTCTCTTTTCCCTAGTGACAAGTGATAGGATGAGAGGAAATGGCCAGAAGTTGCACCAGGGGAGGTTCAGATCGGATATTAGGAAAAATTTCTTCACCGAAAGGGTTGTCAAGCATTGGAACAGGCTGCTCAGGGAAGTGGTTGAGTCACCATCTCTGGAGCTATTTAAAAGATGTGTAGATGTGGTCCTTAGGGACCTGGTTTAGTGGTGGACTTGGCAGTGTTGTGTTTACAGTTAGACTCGATGATCTCAAAGGTCTTTTCCAACCTAAATGATTCTATGATTCTGTGCTTAACATAAAGTGACCATTTGAGTTTGGAGGCTGGAAAGTTTCTTTCCTAAGAGAAACTGATTACTTGGTGCTGGTTCAGAAAAAGTGTCTCAGTCTTGCCTCCTGTCTCTACTTGCTTTTGCATGAATACCAGGACCTAGACAGGATTAACAATTGCTACTGACCTCTTTCTGGAACAAGTGTTGGCCTTTGTGGATCCTTAGGACTGGAACTTATTTCAGCTGTAGTGTTGTAGAGTGTTGGGAAGAGATGACTGTCTTGGAGGTCTCAAGTCTCAACAAGCTGAACTTGAACCCATTCTTCTTTTCATTCAGAATTGATATTCTAGAAATATCAATCACTGATGCTAAAATATGGGAATCGGGATAGTACCACAGCTGTGGGATTTTTTGCAGGCTGCTTTGGGAGCAGTAGAGGTAGGAGCTGAGACAAAGAATAATTATTTTTTATTTTCTAGGAAAGATACTTCACTGATGAAGAAAAAGCATCAGATAAAAAAAAAAAAAAAAAAAAAAAAAAAGGATACTGCTTTTTCCTTAGATCCTGAAGGAAATATCACCCAATAACATTATTGGAAAGCTGTTAGATGGATTGAATTTGCTGACTGTAGATGGTGTGAGGAGCTATATTGCCCAGTCAGGGGAATATG